TCATTATATGCTTACCCCTTCTCAGAGATTGGAATGTCCTGGGGTGTGGCAATCAATATGGGCTGGGCTTCGGTCCTCTCCATCACATTCCCGCGCACGCTTGCAGTGATGACCCCAACTGGTGCCTTCGGATTCTACGCGTAAGTCGCTCCGTGCATGGTTCAAGGACCTAGCTCTTAACTCATTACATCTCAGAGCCCTCAACATCACTGCGTTTGTTATGATCTTCTTCTGGGTCCCCGAGACCAAGCAGCGGACTCTCGAAGAGCTCGACTACATCTTCGGAGTGCCCACAGCCATGCACATGCGCTATCAATTGTTCCAGGTGCTCCCTTGGTGGATCAATCGCTACATCTTCCGCCGTCGCGGTGCAAGCCTTGAGCCTTTGTACAAGCTCGACCACCTCGCGACCAGCAGCTAGGTTACCAAAGAACGATTTACAGCAGACCTGTCGACGCTTCTCGCATCCATCCTGCTCGATCGAATCCCCTGCAGCGCATTTCCTTTGTTAAAATGGAAACCCTCGGTGGTTGTAATATTTACTTCCGGAGTCTACGTGGCATAAATGTGTCAGACTGAATCTGGAGGGAAATATCACTTTTACCATTATGAGAGGCCATGTAATACGTTAGTTAAAGATGAATGACTATCTATGATTAGTCAATCTGACTTCTTAAAAGAGAAAATCCAGAGCCATCCGTGCAGTTTATAGGTATTTATGATCTTAACCGCATGCTCGAGATATCATTATAGACTTCCGAGTATGCGGTGGTTCACGTGAGTTCGAGAAGTTGTTCGGGTCTTCTACCGTAACATCAAGATGGGATCTTTTCTATGCTTTATATTCACACTTTTCTCTCGAGAATGGATCATGAAAAACGTACGGCTCTGTATGAGAGAAGGCGGATTTTTACGAGGCAGATGCAGGGAGTCAAAATCCTCGGAAGAGAATTCCGGCGGGGAGCGGATCCCCCTCCCTCTCGGAAAACACCCCTTACTTGTTGACCCTCTCGGCGCACCACAAGAGGAACATCGGGAAAAGTGCCAACTATATGAGCTCTATCATTTTGTGATCCAATGAGCCACTCAATCCAGATGCTCAGTAAATGACCAACGACATTATCTAGGTCGAATTCTATACCAAAATCACAACATCCTATATGCGGACCGACCCAAGCCGATACCCCCTCCACACGTCGAACCCCACCGACTCATAGAACCCCTCCAGCACCACCCAGTCGACCATCACCCCCTGCACCCCGCGGCTCCGAAGATGCGCCAGCGCATGGGTCAGCATCGCCACCCCGACGCCCTTACCCCGATGTTCCCGGTCCACGCCCACACACCCGATCAGCCCGGTGCGGGAGTCTGCGCCCCCGCAGACGGGCGGCATTGCCCATTGTGTCTGCAGAAAAGGTGAGGACGGGTCGAGCATCAGCGTCCAGCCGATCTGGTGGCCCTGCGGGCTGAATACGGTCATGATGCTGTCCGGGTGGGTTTGCGGGTGGAGCGTGATATAGGTTTGGACCCAGGCCTGTGTATAATTTAATACGGTACGGGTTAGTCACGGTTGTGTTGGTTTTGACTTGGAGAGGGGATTCAAATGAAAGGGGGTTCTTGAACCTGGTTGTGGGAGAAGTTCTTCTGCTGTCCGGCGATGCATTCCTCATATTGAGCGGGTTGGAGCGCGGCGAAAGTGTAGCCCTGGCTTGTGGCTTTGCGGGTGTGTCTCTCCTCGAGTTGGAAGTCGGTGATGCTCCGGTAGAGGTCGACGTGGCGCGGGGGCGGGGTCGTGAAGATGAAGCCCCGGTTCTCGAAGAATTTCGTGGCTGACGGTGCAAGGTCGTCGGGGAGGCCCGGCCAGAAGCGCGGGAATGAGCTGCTGAGGTCGAGGCGCGTGATCTGCTGGGTCGTCGTGTACCAGGCGATGGCTTCTTGGATGAGCGTGCTCCCGATGCCGTGGGACTGGGCGGCCGGGAGGACGGCAATCGCGGACAGGTAGGCGGATTTCTCCTCGTCGTCGGTGGTCGTGCGGGAGTAGGTTAGGCAGAAGCCGACTATCGTGTTGCCGGTGCGGGCCAGGAAGTGGTGGCCGTGGGGTTGGGGGAGGAGTTTCTGGAGGTTTTCGAGGGGCAGAGGGTAGGTGGGTAGGGAGGTGTTCCAGACGGTGTGCACTTGTTTGAGATCTTCGGGGTAGTCGAGGGGAGAGAGTTCGATGGATAATCGCGGCTCCTGGGTGCCCACTGGGAGTTTGCCGGTTGCCGTCGCGGCGCCGAATATCGTCGCTGCGGCGGCGGAGAAAGCCTCAAGGGTGGGCTCGTATGTGGTGATGTAGGTGCCAATGGTAGGATCATCGAGGAAGTCGTAGGGGTTGCAGGCCGCTATGCTTACTAGGGCTCGAGCACGATTTGGCAGCTCTTGTCCCAATTTTCTTTGGAATGGCGATTCACGCGCGTTGATTGTCGTGAGGATTACAGCGTCAGCAGCCTCGACTTTGCGCCATTCCTCTGGGGACAAGCCTGCTGCTCCGTAGCGGATCTCGGTGACAGTTGGGTTGTGATTTCTCAACGCATCAAGATATACGGATCCGTTGTACGATCCCTTTCGACCAAGCCCTTCTCCATCTACTGCCCCACCAGCCGGAGTTTCCTCGCCAGGGAAGAGTAAAATGACCTTGCATGACCTTGAGACTGGTAGATTCTTTGACGTGTCTCGAACGACGGTCACTGACTTTGCATAGGCAGCGTCAGCCAGCTCGCGATTTTGCAAGTCGATCTCACGGAACCTCGATTCAAAGGCGCCATCGGTGTGCAGGGCTTCCTCCCATCTTAAAGATTTCTGTTTCAGCTGGGTTACACGTCGGTACGCTTCTTCTACCCTGGTCATGGAGACTCGACCAGCTTCGACAGCCTCGCAGACACGGCGATTCGACGCAACTTGGACATCGTAAGTGTGGCAGATCATGATGCTATCGCTACCAGCCGCAAGGGCAAGGACGGATCCTTCTTCAGTGCCATAAGTCGCGCGGATTCCGTCCATCTCCAGACAATCCGTGATTATCATACCATCATTCTTCATGTCTTCCCGAAGGATACTGAGCACATCTGGCGAGAGGGTGGCCGGCAGCTTGCCATCTCCTAGGCCGGGTAGCGAGATATGTGCGGTCATGACAGCCTCGATCCCCTCGGCTGCCGCTCGCCGAAATGGGACGAGCTCACACTTCTCCAGTTGCTCTCGCGTCTTGGAAATCACAGGCAGCCCGTAGTGGGAGTCGGTGGCAGTATCTCCATGCCCGGGAAAGTGCTTAACGCAAGAGATGACACTGTGCTGGCGTTGACCCCGGGCGATAGCGCTTGCGAAACGGCCAACGAATTCTGGGTCGTCGCCGGGACTACGCACGCCGATGACGGGGTTCAATGGCTCGGAGTTGATGTCACAGACAGGACCATAGTTCATATTAATGCCGACATGTTTCAGCAACTGTCCTGTTGCCATTCCAACTTTGTATGCAAGATCGGTTGAGTTAGTAGCACCCAGAGCCATGGGCCCCGGGAGCTGAGAGGCCATTGGGGGTGAGATTCTAGTGACCCATCCATTCTCTTGATCGATACCGATGAAGAGGGGATGAGTGTGACCAGCTAGTTGTGCTTCTCGTTGTAGAGCATCCGTCAGAGCCTTGTAGCGGGAGCTGTGGATCAGCCAGCAGGTTGCGACTAATGATTCAAGATTTCAGGCCTACCCGTAGTTGAGCAACGTCGGTGATGTTTCTTTTGAACAGGATGATGCCTCCAACTCCGTATTCGTGGATCAGGGTCTTGATCTCGGCACTAGGTTCCAGGCCATGGAAGCCGACCACAAATAGCTGGAGCTTGGTTAGTTGTTTTCCGGCTGGCTTGGAGGACAGCCTACCTGGCCGACTCTCTTCTGCAGATCTGCAGACGACATCTCACTAAGCGATAAATTGGTGGAGTGTAATATGAAGGACCAGTGGAGTACTGAGCAGATAGCACTCCCAATACAGGGGAGCGAAAGGATAACCTGAAGGTGTTGAATACAGTGAAATGAGGGGAAGAATCGATGGGGAACGGCAGCCTTACAGAAACCGATTATCTTATCGATCTCATTTGCCAGCCAGTTCCAGCCTGAACCCCACCCGTCTGATAGTATGCGAAACATGCTTCTATACTTGAGGATTTGCTCAAGCACTTTCTTAGGCGGCAGTATGAAGCTCTCGTCAATTGTCACTCTAGTAAGCCGTCAGAGCTTCTGTCTAGGGTAAGAATCCAATCATACATCGGTTTCAAAGACCAGTTACATGAGTTCTACGAGGATATAGAAACATGATCAGAGGGCAGCTCTCGAGTCAAGAGCTAGGATAGATCATGTCGGCGTTGTGCGTGTAACGCCTCGGTTCAGCAAGGTCACATGATTTCAAACAGAACTGCGAGTATGTAAACACCATGAATTCGTGTAGATTTCTTCATTCCTAGCCAATTCCATGAATCTCAAGGCATCGAGCTTTGCTCTTTGAGCCAGTAATTCCATCAGTATCACGTCTTATATCAACAGATCAAGGTCTACTTCTCTGATCGAAATAGCTTCAGAAGAACTGTATAGCCTAATATTCACAGGAGACGACACTTACCCTATTGAGGCGGCTTACCAAAGAGGAATTTAGTTACGCCAGTTAGGCCGAGTCAATAATTCACCTAGTGAACACTTTCAGGGCACTAGAAAATTGTCCTTATCCCGACACCCACCCCTACATCTCCCTCCAGAAACAATTCTGAAGGCAGACAGCCCAGTCATCGAACACCTGAGTCTCTGTCATTTTTCAACCAGCCGACAAGAATGGCTTCCTCCGATCAGGATCAGAAGTCTGTTGATGTCAAAGACGATGTTAAGCCGGAGCAGCCAGGAGATCTGTTGGCCAGCATCAAGAAGTAGGTATCTCTGTCACCCCGTCAGCAATTGACTCAGGAGATGAGTCTGATCTAATCAGGTACTACTCATCATCGGAGTTCTCCGATCTGGCCGTTCACACCCTTGATCAAGATTTCAAGGTTCATCGGGTAGTCGTCTGTGGGCAGTCCGAATATTTCTCCCGTCTCTTCCAGGGTACATGGCTGGTAGGTTCTCATGTGCCTGAGCAACAGAAATCAACACTCTAACTACTTGTAGGAAGCAAAGGAGAGCGAAATTCACCTCAAGGAAGACGATCCCCGCGCGATAGAAGCAATGTTTCAGTTTATGTACGGATTCGAATACGACAGCAGCGGCAGTGACCAAGGCCGCACATCGCCCATGCTGTTGAATGTCAAGGTCTATCAGGTCGCGGAGAAATACCAAGTTCGCCAGCTTAAGGACCGCGCAAGAGAGAAGTTCAAGTCTATCGTGGAGGCTTGCTGGCAGATGGACGACTTTCCCGTTGCTATCGAAGAGGCATACAAACGTACCACGAAGGAGGACAGGGGTCTCCGGGACATTCTTGTGAGGACTTCTCAGAAACACATCGAGGACCTGGAAGCTAGCGAGGATTTTCGACTTGTTCTTGGGGGCACTGCTGGCTTTGCTGCGGATCTTATCCAGGTATTGGTCCAGGATGACGTCAAGAAACCAGGGATAAAGCTCAAGTGCAACAACTGCCTGGTCGAGTATTATTTGGAGACGGCTTACGCAAAAGCCACACAGTTCTGTCCATTTTGTGGCGCTCGGTAGAATCCCGCACCATGTTCGTGCAGTGAGGTTTCTTTCGACTGCTTGGATCTTATCTTGTTGACCTTGTCTTGAACTGACAAAAAGAGCCGGTTGTTTCAATGATGGTATCATTTCATCAGAAGTTCCATTGCTGCAGATGACAGTCAAAATGAAACATACAGATAAGATTGGTGGTAGTACAACACCTAGACTGAAGTCTTTCAAGCCCTGGACAGCACACTTCCCTTTGTCTTTTCTTTCTTGGAAGTCTTCTCCGAGACAACTCTAGATATTGCATCAACCAGTATCGAAGGTGGTATCGTTGACATCCGAGCAATTTTACCCTCTTTACCAGAAAAACTTACTACCAGACCGGTGCTCTATACTATATCGAGCGGAGCACTTGAGGACAAACTGGCGCATACTCTAGCCCGGTGACGGCACAGAGTCCGGACAACTTCACTAGACCTTGAATCCATGCCAGTGAGGTCAGATTATCCTCTTCAACAAATTTTGTTGTTCTATTCTGAATCAAGTTGAGCGAGTGGTAATGTCTAGACAGTTAACTTAAAACGGGGCTAAACGGCGATAAGAGACCTCTTTCTCCGATCCTTATACTCCGCCTCCAAGCACCTTTTCACCTGAAGGATCCCCCTACATGGCACTAGCCACGGTTTAAGAACTAAACTTCATACCTAGACTGGCCCGTACTGGCCCATGTTTGCCAGTCACAGCGACCGTCCTTCACCACCCGGACTTACTCGGGTCGGACTTAGCACCATGATGTAGTATTTGACCACGATAGAACCCACTTCAACAAGCCAAACTTGTTGCTACACGCACAACTTTCCCATCCACGACTAAGTAATAACACAAATATCGCAACCATGATCCCACTAATCACCCTCGAAGAACACTACATCTCGCGCCAAGTGAGCGAAGCCAGCCCCACAGCCAAAGCCCACTACGCCGCGTTTCCGCCGCACATCCGCGGGAAGCTGGAGTCGCTGGGCGACGAGCGCATCCAAGACCTCGACGCCGGCAACGTCTCCCTCCAAGTGCTCTCGCACGGGCCGGGCGACATCAGCGCCGCACTCTGCACCGCCGTGAACGACGACCTGGCCGCCGCCATCCGGAACCACCCGACCCGACTCGCCGGGTTCGCGATGCTGCCGATGAGCGAGCCCGCCGCCGCCGCGGCGGAGCTGGAGCGATGCGTGAACGAGCTGGGGTTCGTGGGTGCGCTGATCGAGAACCACACCAACGGACAATTCTACGACGACGAGCGCTTCTGGCCGGTCTTCGCGGAAGCACAGGCGCTCGACGTGCCGCTCTACCTCCATCCGACCTTCGCCGCCGACTCCATGATGGAGTATCACAGGGGCAACTATGACGAGTCGGTCGCGCTGGCGCTGAGTGCTTACGGCTGGGCCTGGCACACGGAGACGGGCCTGCATGTCCTCCGGCTCTACGCCAGTGGGGTCTTCGATCGGTATCCGCGGTTGAAGGTCGTCCTTGGCCATATGGGCGAGATGCTGCCCTTCCAGCTCGAGCGCGTGTTCCCGGTAGCTGAGAGGTGGGGCAGGGAGAGGAGCTTCCGCGAGGTCTGGAGGGACAACATCTGGGTCACGACTAGTGGCATGTTCTCGTTGACGCCGTTGGCGTGTCTCCTGAAGATGACCGCGATTGAGCATGTGCTGTACAGCGTTGACTATCCCTTCTCGACGAATGAGAGGGGTCTGGCGTTTTTTAAGGAGATTGAGGACAGTGGTCTCATCGCGGGCGAGAACCTGGAGTTGTTTGCCTATCGGAATGCGGAGAACCTACTGGGGGTTAAAGTAAGGACGTCGTGACTGATAGTTGAGTTGTTGGTTGGTTGGTGTACTCATACATCTAAGTGCTAAGGCAATTCGGCGGCAGCTCTCGTTGCGGTGGCCCTACGTGTCTTGCCTTCTTTCCGTAAATGCGTAATGTTAAACAGGGCTATACGTGTAAAATCAATCTAGTTTGTCTGCTGGTATGTATGCATCACTAGCCTAGACTTGCCTTCCTGCCGGATTGCGTTGTACAGTACATAAGCAGGTTAATTGGACTTCTTGGTGCTATTCTTCATGCAAAGCAGCTTTCTATACTGGTTTCTGCTGTGGCCTGTGATACTATCGAAATTATCCCTCATTCTCAGGTCTTCCAGGATACAAATGTTCGTTCCATACCAATGAACTCTACGCGTAGTGTGTCTGTATCTGTACCAAGTGTGCAGTGTGTACTGTACCATACTCTAGACTCTACTCAACGCGGCCCATCATTACCAGCTCCCCTTTCCATCGAACTTCCTTCTGCTCCTTCCACGACCTCCGCATTAATACTGACAGGTCCCTTGACCGTCTTTCCAGTCTTCCGCCCTGCCCCTCCCAAGTCCGACCCCGGAGCAACAGCAGCGTGCTCCTCCACGAATCGCCTCCCATCCTCCCTCCCCTTCTCCACATCCACGAACATGATCGCCACCATCGCTGCCGCACAAATCGCAAACAAAAACGGGAATCCCATCCAGTTGTTCTGGGTGTCATTGATGATGGCCTGGACGACATTCGGGCCGATAATAGAGGACTAGATGCCATGCCATGAAAGAGTCAGTCATTAGTAATATGTTGTGGGTGGCTTTTGGGAGGGGAACTAGGATAGTGGTTCTTACCGCGCGATTGGTGATCCCGAAGAGAGCGAAAAACATGTTGTCGTAGCCGGGCGGCATGAGTTCGCTGATCATGGTTTGGGCATACTGAAGGAATGAATCTGTAAGTGGGCTTCTTCTTCTTCGTTGATTATACCGCAGAGACGGAACATTCGGGGCTCCTAGGACAGGGGTAGAGGGAGCTTACGGCGTAGTATGGGGCTTGGAACAGGCCGAAGATGGCATTGTAGAGATAGAACTCCCACTGAAGGTATAGGAGCGTCTTGTTAGTGTTTTTTTTTTTTTTTGCTTTGAAAGAAACCTTCTGGAAGTGGGACATACCCGGTGATGATATCCAATGCGCTTGGTCCATAGACCCAGCATTCCCCAGAAGGGAATGAGAACAGTAAAGAAGTTTGTGATGAGGAACATGGGTTTTGTGCGGATCTTGAAGTACTTTTGGATGTACCAGAAGCCGAATGTGGAGGCTATCGAGCATGCAGCTTGGGCTATGCCCAGGTATGTAACTTGGATGAAGGAGAATGCCACGAAGTCATTTTGAATGATCGAAACTAGGGTGCCTATAGCGGAGAACTCAGCAAGCAGAAACTAGGCAGATTGGATCTTACTAACCCGTGGTGTTGAGGCCATCTGCGAGGAGAAAGTATGCCACGAAGTAGAGAAAGGTCTGCGGCAAGGACCGGACCTTACGCAGCGCAAGCCAGATTTGCTTGAAACCAATAGTAGCGTAGCTTGATCCTTCAGGGATCCTAGGGCCGGGGCGTTTCTGCTGGAAGATAAACCACCAAATTCCCAGAATCACCCAGTCTGGTTTGGTCAGCATCCGCCTTCAAACGCGATGGGTAGGAGACCGACATGAGTTTGTCAAGCAAAGCGCAAGGTTGTTCGAGAAAGAATGATTTTGAAGAGGCAAAAGTACGCTCAGATTCAATACCAATACTGCCAAGTATCCGATGTTGCTGTGTGCAGTCGAAACGTTGCTAGTATCTGTTAGCTGCCAACTCAGTAATACAAAGAGCGCCCATACCTGATGTGATTCCGCTCCAGTGACTCAATTGCGTCGTATTCCCTTTGGCTGATTTTTTCCTCCTTCAAGTCCTGGCGGGCTCTTTGGACATGCGGCATATGGCGCGCGAGCCTCGGAAACACGGCTGCATAGAAGACTAGTGTTGCGCCATATGCGACGTAGGAGATCACGTAAAGGCCCATCGCTGTAGGCCATTGATCAGAGTGCCGAATGGACATCATAGCGTACTGCATGGCCCAGCAAATCACGGTCAAGACTAAAAGCAACCAGCGACCGAAGGAGCCGTAGTCCGCTGCGCTGCCGAGCCAGACAAATGTCACAGTCATGAACGTGAAGCTCAGCCCGTTGGCAATCAGAACAACAGAGGAGACAGAACGAACTCCCCCGGCCCATGGAACGACACAAGGTGAGTTATCTGTGCATGGCTTGCGAGAGTTGGTGTCTGGCTGCCACCCAGCACCATTGAGCGCCCATTGAAAGCTGGTGGAAACATGATATTAGCTCAAGTTCTTGGGGGCATGATCAGCCTGGCAGGATGGGGTAAACAAACAGTGTTTGAGTGTAAGAGCCAGGGCCAACTCCGTTATCGCCTGGTATGCGAGCTGTTAGTGATGGGTTGCTGCGTATGGCGATGGAGACGATTTACCATTGTAGTACAGATAGTATGACCAGAGCTCTCTGCGAGTCGTTGTGGGCTGTTCGAACGTGTCTTCTGCTCCGAAGACATGTTCAATATCGGCTGTACTGTGAGATGAGTGCTCTGGAGATAAGGGCGTAGTCGCCTCGTGGTCAGTATGCTTGTTGGTGGAGCTGGGATCGCGCTCGGCGCTGCTCTCGTTTCTGGCGTCCGTCAAGGAGACTCGTGAACTTATGCGGTGCGTCGAGCGTGTCATCTTGAGCTTGTGCTCTGATAGAATAGTATGCTTAAGCTGTCTCCAATTGATAATTGATGTGGAGTATTGAGATAAGGAGAGGGAAGGGATGAGGAATGCCGAACAAGGATGCACGACCGGCAGGTATTGATTGATTGTGATTCAACCCCGCAGAGACGCCTCGGGCAATCCTAGCTCGTCGCCTGCAGTTGACTTACCTTGGTTTCTGGAAACCACTCTGAAACTGGTTGTATACAAAATAATTATATGTGATTTATTCCCAACATATTTATTTTCTGGAGGCAAAATGGAGAAGCGAGAGGTTAGTATAAACTACTAGTTATACAAGCAAGCTTTCATAGCCGATTCAATCACACATCACAAGACGACTCTGTTCCTCCTCTGCTCAGCTAGTGACTCTGCTTATCTTTTTAGGTCTACCCTTCTTGACCTGTGAAATCCATGAGAAGAACTTAAAATCAATTAAAAGATTTATACTTGTCAATGATTAAAGAAGTAGATGAGGAATTGATTCGGTTACATGAGGCTATCGGAGGAACTAGCTAAAAACCGGCGATCCAAGCAGGAAGACCTTTGTCAGTCAGATTAACAACCTTGTTCGCTAGATGCAGCTTGTAGAAAATCTCTCTGTGTGTAGAAGTAGCCACCCAAGCCATTTGCTGTAGTTCCTGGCCTTCGATCACCAAATGAAGCTCTTGGAAAGTTGTAATTCAGCTGGTCAGGGAGGGAGGGCCTGATTAGGATCCATATATGTCACATAGACTATTAACTACCAAGTTACACATTATCCAGGACCTGTCTCATTGACTTCTCCCCGGCCTGCTGCCCCTTCCTCCGATCAACAGCCTCCCTCCACCTCACCCCAAACACGGCCGTCAACCACACCGCACCACCCGCACCAACCAAGAACAGAGCGGAGATCGTGTTGAACCAGCCGGCCCCAACCACCTTGATGGCCGGCATCGCCACCCCCGTCCCCAGCGCCGCAAACACATACCGAAAGGCATAGTTCGCCCCAACCACCTCCGCACTCCGCCCTTGCTCTTGTATCACGTCCAAACAGTACGTATTCAAGCTGGGGAAACAGAAGATCTGTGCGACGCCTTGAACGAACATAAGAACCACTGGAAGCGGAATGCCGCCGACGCCGGCGTCCACCATCCACCCATAGATCAACACGCAAGCAGGACTGGCGATGCAGATGAAGGGCAGGCAGGAGCGGAGCCGGTCCTCGGGGATACGCTGCCCTTGCCTCCGGCGGATGTAGTAGCGGGCGATGCGGTCAGTGTAGTGGCCGCTGAAAAAGGTCCCCGTCAGATAGCCCAAGCCGGCAGGGAGATACAACAGCCCGGCTTCGATGGGGCTGGTCAGGTGGAAGCGTGGGTTGAGGGTATGGCGGATCGGAGTCAGAAGGGCGTATTCATTCCACACCAGAGCACCTGCCGCGAGGCCGGTGCAGAGTATGTTTGGGTACGCGATTATTAGGTGGAGGATGCGGAAGGGCGAAGTTTGATGCCAGAGCTGTTGGGCTTGAGTGCGGAACGGTTGGCCGCGGAGAGAGAGGCTGGTTCTGTGGGCGATTGTTTCTGGGAGGATAGTTATGATTAGGACGGTTGCGCAGAGGCTGAGGGCGGAGAGGAGATAGAAGATTGTGCGCCAGGGGCAGAAGGTCATGATTATGCCCTGTGTGTGAGAGAGATTGTGTTAAAGAATTGTTTCTCACTGTGAAAGGCGCAAGTCGGTTGTCACTTACACCGAGGAAAGGACCCAGAGCAGGTCCGGTGAGGCTTCCAGAGAGTACCCAGCCAAGTGCGGAGGCTCGGGCTGTTGGTTCGTATATATCTCCGACAATGGCGTTGCCAATAACGAGGAAAGAGGTGCCTTGTAATGCGGCACATCCTCGGAAGATAAAGTAGGATACTAGGTTTGGGGCGAAGGCAGAGGCAACAGTGAACGCGCAGAAGAGGATTGAGCTTGTGATGAGAAGCTGCGCTCGTTAGCACGTAAGTCAAAATAGTCTCAATTGCACTTACAGGCCGGCGACCCCAGACTTGGCTTGCAGGGCCCCAAATAAGGGCGGAAACTCCCATACATCCGAGATAGAGAGAGTTGCTGGCGTATATGATATCCTGCGTGGTATCAAACGTCCTGGCGAGGTCCGCCACAGCCGTGAAAATGGCGGTGGATGAGATCGGGGCAAGAAATGCACAGTAAGAGAGCATGATAACGATTGAAACCCGCCGCGCAGGTGAAAGATAAACTACTTGGGGTACTCCGCTGTCATCTTCAACGCGGGACAAAGGATGATCTGAAGTATGGCTGGAGGCCTGCACCAGGGCTTGAGATGATCCATGGTGTATTTCCCGATCTGATCGAGGCCTGCGGGACCTCTGACATTCATATGGATCGACCTCCAAGGAGAATGATTGTAAGGAATCTTTGTCGAACATCTTACTATTGTGGAAGGAGAATGAAAGGAGCGGTGGGTGCAGCAATACATGTCATGAGTCGCCAATAAAGAACGGAATCTGCAAACACGCAGCAGTATGCTAAGGAGCGAATGGGTTCTGAGTTATGGATAACGTGAAATCAACTCAGGCATAGTCAAGGAAAGGACAGGACTGCAGAACACTCCCGTTCATCAAAGATTGAAATTATCAAATATGGATCTTGCAGCGACGAAGGAGCCATGAGCTTTTTAAACTAAGCGTAAACCTAAAGGTGATGATTCTTGTTTTCTTGCTAAGGGACGTTGCAAAAAGCATTGTTCCAACCTTCAGTGGGGCCTTTTTGTCTGGTTATCAGGATGAATGGGCCAGACCATTGAGTTGAACTAGCCCTAGGCAGCGCACGGGGCCGCATATCTCCCCGTTGGGAAACGGTCAGAGAAACTCTGCTTGATTTAGAACCTCATTCTGGATCGGATGGAAAGTTGGGCAATTGCGGATCCATTACAATCGTCGGCCTCAGGGACCCTCATAGCACCGAATCAGTCATAATTCCAGGATCGAAGCCGGGCCTTATAGCTTGATATTAGCAGGAACTGAGGGTCATGATCGACAAACAGACTGTAAATGGAGAGGATCTTAGACATATCCCTCACGTAGCATATGATGCCGGAGTGGCCATGCCTCATAGCTCAGGTAGTGCAACCATTCGTCGTGGAAGCTCTCTTTGAGACATTTCTTCGCATTGATTGAGTAAGCCAATATGCGAATACCCCCGTAACGAGCGAGTCATTTCACCAGGAAGGGGAAGTGATCCATCGTGTGGTGGGTAGGAGAATTCTCAGGAGAAGCATTTTCTCACGAGGACTTTCGGTCCTGACGATCATATCCACATCATCAGCACCTAGTCTCGATGTAGTTGATGGTGAAGGTAGCGTAGATTTCCTCGGAGATTAGGGACAGAAGAATCCAGCTTGTCGATCTTACCCGTACACCCGGATCGATCTTCTCTTCACGGGTCATAGCATTGATGATGTGAGAGGCAAAAGACCATGATCACCTGAGAGTTCTTTTCTCAGGCTTTCTAAGACTTGTCATGTCTGTCAAAGCTTCCTCTTTTTTTTTTGTCTCCCATGGCGGCGCCATGAAACGATAAGGTACGGAGTAGTCCAAGCGCGTTCCTGAAAAAAGGGAGGATGGAGATCCACCAGCAGGCATTTTACTGGCCTCTTTTTAAGGTTTTGCGGCCGGGCGTGTTGTGCCCCTTCCGTTTTCAGTTTGTTCCAGCCTGTGCTCACATACTACCTAGTATGTACTGTATGTATGGTACGGTATCCCGTGCAATATAATTCCTGAGTAGAAATAGCCGAGTTTGATGCCATACACCGGATGGTGACAATGAACTTCACTACGAAAGAAATACCTTGGGAGAAGCATGATGCTACCGGGTCTCCCGTCAACTCTAAGCATGCAGCGAGATCTGGAAAACACCTCAGATCCGATGCTCTTCATGGGGCGTTACACAATATGGCGGAAGAGGGCCGGATAAAGCCGTCTTCGGTAACTCGGATGGCCATGCGGTATGACATCTTTCCTTCCTTGAGTTCATCCATCCTCGATTTGCTTCTGCGCTCATTTCTGCGAGGGCTTCGTAGGTGGCTAGCAGGGGTCGGAGGACACGAGCGAATGGTGGGACTTGGTGTACTAGATTTCTCCGCAACGAAGCTTAGAAGCGTGCAGGCGGGAAAGAAGTGGGAGGAGAACCACCATTCGTGAAGAGGGGAAAATCTTTAAGAGTTCAGCCACAAATGATCGCATGGCAGATGATGTGAATGTCTGAGTGGTTCTGTTCAGCAGGTCATGGATCCGATGGGAGGCGAGGATGGAACTCGACAACTGGAAAAGGCCCAAGCCACCCAGATGACGTCGAGGCAACCACTGCACCGCACCGCATTTAACCCCTGCGCGCGGCTGGCTTGAATCGGGTTTAGCGGATAGTCTTGAATCTCCCCCCTTCCCCTCCTGCTCTTCCAAACCCACTCAACTTCCCCATGACATCTTAACTTCTCTTCTTTTCAACTTTCTCCATCCCCCACCCTATTGCTACTTTCTTGGCTACTTCCCCAAGACTTATATCCCCGCTACTTACCTTGGTGGTTTTTTTCCTTTTCATCTGCATCTAATTTCATCCTCTTCTTCGTCTAAAAAATGAGCTCCAAGGATCCACATAGCGGCGTTCCCGCCTCGAGCAAAGGCTCGTGGACAAGTTTCCTTAAGGTATGAAGAAGACACTAGGCAGCTATCTGCTATCTCCGTCGTATGCCGCTTCATTTTTCTGCCCTTGCCATCGAGACACGTTGTCAGAAACCAGTGACATCTCTAACCCATTGATTTCCGATTGTAGTCTATCGCTTCCTTCAATGGAGACCTTTCCTCCCTGACCGCACCCCCTTTCATCCTCTCCTCCACCTCCTTGACTGAGTATTCCGCCTACTGGGCCGAACACCCTGCTCTGTTCGTGGCTCCTGCCAAAGAAGCTGATCCCGAAAAGAGAGCATTGGCTGTCCTCAAGTGGTTCCTCAGCACACTTCACCAACAATACTGCAGCCGCAGTGAGAAGCTCGGCAGTGAGAAGAAGCCTCTCAACCCCTTCCTCGGAGAGCTGTTCCTGGGCAAGTGGGACTCGGATGCAGAGGTTGGTGAGACCAGCCTGATCAGTGAGCAGGTCAGGTATGTAGCCATGTCCCCAAATCCCTTGTAAGCTATGTTGACCATCCACAGCCATCACCCCCCTGCCACTGCCTACGCCATCCGGAACGAGAAGCACGGTGTCGAAGTAAGCTATCAAACATTCACATCAATTCCACTAGTCACATCTCTAATCAGCGTCCTCCAGCTCCAAGGATACAACGCCCAGAAGGCATCCTTCTCTAGCACCATCCAGATCAAGCAGATCGGCCACGCTCTTCTGACTCTCACTCCCCCCGGGGCCGACAAGAACGATGCCTCCCAGCAGGAGAAATATCTCATCACTCTTCCCGCCCTGCATATCGAATCCTTGATCTACGGTACGCCGTTCGTCGAGCTTGAGAAGACAACCCGCATCGCCAGCAGCACGGGTTACATTGCCAAGATCGACTACTCTGGCAAGGGTTGGTTGAGCGGCAAGAAGAACACCTTCAGCGCCATTCTCTACAAGGAGAGCGAGGGTGAGAAGAAGCCCCTGTACACCATTGACGGTCAGTGGTCGGACTCGTTCGTCATCAAGGATTCCAGAAAGCACGAGGTGGATAGATTCTCAGTCAAGGAAACCCAGACCACCCCCTTGACCTTGGCACCACTTGACCAGCAAGACCTCTACGAGAGCCGGCGGGCATGGCGAGACGTGGCGGCGGGCATTGAGCGAGGCGATATGGACGCTGTGTCCGTGTCTAAGTCCAAGATTGAGAATGCCCAGCGTGAGCTGCGCAAGGTTGAGAAGTCGGAGGGTCGTGAGTGGGAGCGTCGGTTCTTCAAGCGTGTCAACGAGAGCGAAGATGAAGCTTTCCAGCAGCTTGGCCCCAAGCTCGGCCTTACCTCCCTGGAGAGTGACAAGACAGGCGGTGTCTGGCGGTTTGACTCGGCCAAGGCAACCGACGCCAAGCCACCTTACCATGCAACTGGAGGCGAGGGCCTGGGTGTCACTGCATAAACAGGATATTGATTGCGAAGCTAATGGCTAGTTCTCCCTTGGTCTGCGTGGTCGGATAGGGTGGTGAAATTAGCAGGGATGATTACCATCATAGATTGCGTTCTCTTTCTATTTCTCTTCGTTTTCTCTTTCTTTCCTTGCTCTGTTTCGGGGGTTTTGGTATCTGTATATAGAACAACAGCGAGAACTGGATAGTTCCTAGACCAAGCCGGCAGATTACTCTTCTGCTTCTGGTTCGCGGGTCACGTCGACCATTTGAAGGACAGGTCTTCGTCAGAAAATGAATTGAATCCTGACATCCAGTCAACATCCAGTCGGCCACAACAGTGGTCCGAGCGATTATTGTTACCTGATTTTCCAGACTATTGATAAACAATGCAGGCGAATTTCATGAAGCAAATCGACTCTTATAGTGAGTAAAGCTCTGTTCTCGCTAACAATTCTAAGAGAGACACAATGAGAAACAGACTCATAACACAGAAACTAAGAAACAGATCATTACCCATAAGAATAGCACCACCGCACCTCAGGAGGCCTATACTATCCTTTCTTCATCCATCTCCACTTCATACCCCAACTTCTCCTCCACAAGTTCCCCGGGGAACCCCACGGCCCAAATGACCATCACGGACCACATCAAGACACTGTCAAAGACATACAGCGTCCACTCATGCGTCAGAATATACCCATGCATTCCCATGGCGTACTCGATGACACGAAAGATCGACCGGACCAGAATCAGCGCACTGACCGCATACAGCATATACATCAAGCGATCCAACGGGCGGCCGTACTGGCTCAGCCGGATCTGTTGCTGGCTGTGCTGCTGCTGCGCCTTCACCCGCCGGTGGAACACCAGCGCCACGACGATGAAGAACGAGAACATGATCACCTGGATCAGCAAGCCGACCACGGTGATCGCCTTGGCCGTCGTCTGGCCCGTCGACCGCACCATCAGCCCCACGCCGCTCCCCTGCACGATGAACGAGAGGATGTCACTGGCGACGAACAGCTTGGTGAGGTGCTTGGGCGGGATGAGCGAGACACTTTTGGCCTTGGGCTCGGTGGCGGCCGTGAGTCGCTGGGGCAGACTGCGGATGATGCGGCCTAGGGTCATGTAGACGGTTGCGGCGAACAGGACGGGGCCCAGCAGGATGAGCACGCTTTGGATCGCGTAGAGGCCGATCGAGGCCGTGTTGGAGTAGTTCAGGATCCGCACGATGTAGCCGACGATCTCGACTGTTGTGGGGGAAGCGTGTAAGCAACGGTTGTCATCGGAGGCTGTTGGATCGTATGGGATATGAGGGGGGGGAGGGGAACTTACATATACCGCCGATGCTGAAGGAGATGTTGTACCATGCTCGAGTCTGGAAGAGCTTGAAGAACAGATAACAGGTTACCAGTCCAAACAGAACGGCGAAGATCGCGGCCGCGGGAATGGAAGGCAGGTATGTCCAGAGGTAATAGCCTCCTTCTAAGGGTTTGAGTTGTGCCATCTTGAGGGAGGGGGGGGCCTGATGCACACCCGGCTAACTATAGCGATCGGCTAGGTATGGTAGGTCCGAGTGGTTGGGATGATAGAATTGGAGCATCTTGTCTCCTTTGCCGGCCATTGTGGTATATATATAGGGGACTGGACCCCCGCAAAAGCATTGCTGTTAATTTGGGCGCAAGTGGAAATTTCTGAGGGCTGAATACGCGTATAGAAAGGAGGATAGAGTGGTTCGTCGGCCATTGAGGAGACGGTTGGCTACCGAGTATATTACCCGATCTGGTCTGAAATAATAGAAAGTGGTCTGTGCATACGCGTATTTCTCAAAGGGGCAGGTCCCTGAAATCGGGACCTCGGACTACCGACCTCGGACCTAACGCCCGTGCACAATCGTATCTTATTCTTTGCTCAGCTTAGTATCAAATTTCCTCATCTGCTCGTTCTGCGGTCTAGGTCTCTACCTAATTTTCTGATGCGATAAAAATAGGCCGCCTGCATCTTCATAGGTTCATTTCGGCTGCTGCCTGAGCCTCAACTTTTAAGCTTATCGGCAGACGTCGCCGGGTGCGATACTTTACCGTTGTTGGCCCACAATCCTTCCCCCCATGCCCACCCTTCCAAACATCCCCAGAGGAGATACTGCATAGACGATCTGCCTATTCTGGATGATGTAAACCTGCGTCGGAAACATGACAGTCATGCCGCGTAGGACACACCGAAAATCGCGCAATGGCTGTCTTGAATGTAAAAGACGTCATATTAAAGTAGGTGCGAATCTCTACAGAAACTTTCCACGGGCTTACCACATCGGCTAAACGCTGCTCATCTAGTGCGACGAGAAACATCCGCTCTGCGGCAACTGCCGCAGTTCGGAACGTGTCTGCGAATACGCGGATCGGTTCAGGAGCAGCACGACCAGATCCGAACGCAGTAATGCCTCGACTCCGACCAACGCCGGGCCAAGTCCTGGGGTTAATCCCTCGACACCACGGCCTCCTGGTGAGCAGCCTGCAGCAGAGCCGATGACAACATCATGCTCTGAGGATCAGCCCGTCAACATGGTTCACGCCGAACTCCTCTTCAATCTCGTCACGGAGGCGATTCCCTCCCTCGGCGAGATCGCCCTCTTCGGGAGCCTGTCCCCGGACCTCATGCGCGTCGGGATATCGACCCCTTACCTGATCAATGAACTGCTGGCCCTCAGCGCTCTGCACTCTAGTATAGTCCGGCCCGCTGAGCGCGAGCGGTACCGCCGCCACGCCGCCCAGCTCCAGACGCACGCGCTGGAGATCTTAGGGCAGGAGCGCCGAGACGTCACGCAGGAGACCTGTGTCCCGTTATTTATCTTCTCGTCCACGCTCGGCCTGCATATGCTCTGTGACACTGTGATCTACCGGGAGGAGTCCAGTTTCGATGCTTTCCTCAACCAATTCGTGCACTATCTCAAACTACACCGGGGCGTGCGGGCCATCACCTCGGAGGCGTGGGAAGCGTTGCGCGGGTCGATACTGCAGCCAATGCTCCAGTACGGTCAGGAGAAGTTCGCGTGGGATGCGGACCTGGGGCCCGAGTGCCAGCGGATCATGGATCTGATCGAGGCGGCACGACTGGGCGAGAAGACCACCGCGGTCTATCGGCAGGCGGTGCGTGCGTTGCAGATCTCGATCCATGCGACGGGGGTGACAGACGCTGACCCGAGGGTCAAGTTCGTCGGCGGGGTTACTGGGTGGCCCGTCATTGTGGGGGTGGAGTACATCGAGATGTTGGAGCTGCGCCGCCCAGAGGCACTGGTCATTTTGGCGTCCTACGGTGTGATTCTGCATCAGGCGCGGCATGTATGGGCGTTTGGCGATGGGGGTCGATTCCTGATTGAGACCATTCAGGCGCATCTGGGTTCCCAGTGGGAGACATGGCTGGAGTGGCCAAGTAGGGTACTAAAGGAGTCTAGGGGGTGAAAAGTACGATTTCTGCATTGTATATATGTCTGGTTGTGGTACCCTTCTATGGTTGAGGAGGGACCAGGGGGGGGGGTATGTCCCTCTTTTCGTTCGTGTTCATTTTTTATCGGCGGGATTCATTAGGTAGACCTGAGGTGGAAAGAAGGTACGTAGACTAGTCGTCAGCATAGTCTGCGATGAAGTGGTGACAAAAAACAAATTAGCAACGAAAAAGAAAGTGGCGCTGCCCGGAATCGAACCGGGGCTGGCACGGCCACAACGTGACGTCATACCACTAGACCACAGCACCTGATGTTGTGATTATGGCACTATTTTTGTGCAATATATTCCCTGAATATATTTGAGACCAAGAACTCAACTCTTCCGCAACATAGGTCATCAATCGAGAACAATAGTCATTATATACATCTATTGAGTCCATTCCTTGATCGGATGGCTGGACTCCTCTTATTGAATCGGTACTTTCACTTGCCCTGACCACAGTCCTACCCAGGCTACTGCCGCATTCAAAGCACCGAGGTCAACTGTCCGGGCTTCCACGGTGCTCTTGACCACAGTATATATCTCGGCCACTGGGAGTCACCTGAACCACTAGCTACATCAGCCAGGGCGTTAATGATAACCCTCACCTGCGGAGTCATATGAAGAGTAGAAGGGATATTATGGCCATACAGCCGGAAACCAACCAAAGATACCCAACGAGACCAGGAGTGATTTGTGACGGGCTGGTACCCGCTCGCCCAGAGTCAGAACCACTAGCCCCGCAATACTTCATCTCGTCTGCCCCGACTATTGCCTAGCACCTACCACCGACCTCGACCTCAAATGTACCAACGATGTAGCGATAGAGAACGAGAGAGACCTTGGCCCATAAGACTCCCGAGCCCCGTCCTAAGTATAGATCCGAACATGCACAAATTGTGCAAAGTGAAGCACAACATCACAACCAATGACCCAACCACCCACAAAGAACCAGAACAAGTGACCATCGGAAAGGAAAGACAAGAAAGACAACGGCAAAAAGGTAGGAGAAATGACGAGAGAAAAGTGTACCTTCAAGTACCCCCCCCCCCTTCCCTCGCCCAATATCCCTATATCTGGTCTAGAGAGGCAAAACCCCAATATGCGAACAGGAAGACCAGGATTGTGTCACTGAGAGAAAAGACAATGCTTGAAGACTTCACCCATTTGGTGCCTACGGACTAGATGCCGACATGAATTCGATATGAAGTGCGCGTTCATATGGGTCGAATGCGCGATCTCCCGTGTGATGCCGAGTGCGGTGCGGGTTGGCATTCTGCGGCTTCTAGAAGAAAGTAAGGCACAGCAGATGAAACGGGGGATATAGATAAGACGATAGAAACCAAGCGGAATGACACAAGGAGATGGCTGATGGCCACGAGGAGAGAAAGAGAGAGGCGAGGGAGAGGAAGAAGTAGCGGAGGCCGAGAAGCCATGAAGCTCTCCATACAAGGGAGGGCGAGAGTGAGCAAACAAGCAAGCCAATGTGAATCTGAGGTTCGGGATACACTTTCAATGGCGCCAAGCTGCCGAGTGAATAGACCTCGGATGGTACGGCCTGCAGGATAATCGTGCATCAATGTTACAGACCGTAAGCGTACGACGACAACCCTCCACCTACAAGACCCCGATGAGCACAACTCATATGAACGTGACCTCCGAAACTCTTTTTGATCGAAGCAAAGCTCGCTGTTTCCGTTGTACCATAATGCACATATATGTTACCCGTCATTGCCCACATTGCCCATTTACTTCATACATCAGATCAAATCCCCGGTGACAAACGCCGCCCCATTTCAATTCATTGCATTCTCGAAACCCCATCCTGTGCCCTAATCCAGCCAAATTGCATAAATGATGTCCCAGCCAAACCCCAAGAAAGAAGTAGTACAGGAAGCGAAAAAGTATGCAAAGTCGACAAGAGCAAGAGCTTAAGCGGGAAAGGTTTTTTTCGTAGGCCAGACACCGAGTTGAATGTAGAGGGAGAAAAAAAAAGGAAATTCGCGAGGGAAACCATCAAGAGTCAGTTGAAGGACATCGGCAGATGTCGTGAACCATGAGAGGAGAAAAGAGCAAAGCATCAGAAACACAAAGAGCAAACGTTTTTTTTCCATTCAGTACATCGTGAGTGCAACCCCGCGGGGGAAATCAACCAAAGAAGCAACCAGCCAAGCTCTCGTGGAGAGTACAGATTACACCGTGAGGAGAACATAAAAGGGGAAATATGTGTTAACAGGTGGCATATAAAATGAGATATTTCCCTTACCGAGGTTTGCCGTACCCCAAGATTAATGGCAAAGAAAATAAAAAGCAAAGGGAAAAGCAAGGGGAAAGAGCCAATGTAGATTTGATCACCAGTTAAGATGTAACGCCATAATCCCTCTAGTGACCGTAATTGCCTCCCCAGCCTCCACGTGTGTTGCCATAATAGTTAGCGAAGCCTGCGCCACCGTAGTTACCATAGCCAGTGGGTTGGTGGTGGGTCTGAGAACCGGCCGCCTGGTGACCGCCGAGACCACCCAAGCCGCCGCCGTACTGGGGGTTCAGGTGGGGATAGCCACCAAAGCCCTGCTGACCCTGCTGACCCTGCAGCGGGGGAAGGCCACTCTGGGCCTGAGGCTGACCCGGGGCGCTGTTCGTGGCAGAACCGGGGCGGTTAGCCTGCGCAAGAGAGGGGCTGGGTCCAGCCGCCTTAGGAGTATCGAAGCTCTTTGTCTCCTCGGACGTCACAGGAGGCTGTTGGGTGATCGGCTGGTTCTGGCCGAAGCTGCCCTGGGATCGACCAAAGACGTCCGACATACCGGTTCCGAAAGCATTTGAACCTGCCGCAGCGGACTGCTGGCTCTCCGATGGCTGGGCAGATCCAGTACGACCGTAGACCGAGTCACGGCCAGGGATGGTTTGGTTGAAAGAAGCCGCCGTGGCGGGGGAGGAGGTGTGATCATAAGAGAAGGCGTGGGGTTGACCGTACATTCCACCCTTGCCACCATAGGGGCCATACTGGCTTCCGTAGCCGTACTGATTGCTGTGGGGCATGTAGTGGTCGTCGTATCTGCGAGCATCATCGTACATCGGACGGTTTCTGCCGTACTGGTTCATTCCACTCATGTACGAAGCATAGTGAGGGTTCGAGTAGTAGGGGTATCCGTATCCGTAGTTATGGGCACCTTGGCCTGGCATGTGCTGAGCCGTGGGTGTCTGAGTAGCGCCCGGAAGGGTTGGGTTGGGGGTGGTGTGACCGCTGTTGGGGGCCTCGACATGACCGTAGCGACTGGGAGGTTGGGTGGTAGGGACGTGCGGCTGCACTTCGGCGCCAGAGACCCCAAATCCTGCTCTCTGGGCAGCCACAGTGGCATCCTGAGACTGACCGTAGGAGCCGTAGTAGTTGTAAGGAAGACGCTGGTCAACGGCATAGAATGGCGAGTACTCGCTGCCGGTGGTGGCAGTTGGCTGGATAGGAGCTTGGTTGGCGAATGGCTCCTGAACTTGAGGTTGGGGCTGCGAAACCTGCTGGGTGAAGGGATCATAGGGCTTGTGGGCATCAGTGTAGCGAGAGAAGTCGGCAAACGAATTGTCGGCAGCAGACACCTGGGGCACAGGAGGAAGTCCCGGAGCCGGGCGGGCAACTGCAGGGGTTTCGGTAGGAGCCTGGGCCTGGGTGGAAGGAGGCAAAGAGGCGCGAGGAGCGACGGGAGAATGTTGAGGAGGTTGAGCACGGGTTTCCGCATCTTCCCTGTTCTCATCGATGTCAACGTCAACAGCATCGCCATTCAGTCCCATGCTGCCAAACTGGACCGCCGCGCGGTCCACAGCGTGGTTGCCTGGCATAACCACGGCCTCCTGCTGTTCCATAACACGACGCTGGGTGCCTGGAGTGCGAGTGCTGTGCTTCAGAGCACTACTGGGGTGGATGCTGGCCGGAATACGGGTGGGAGTTGCAGCAACCGGAGCATTGGCAGCAGACTCAAGAGTGCTGCCCACAGTGCTAGCTGCGGTAGCGGTCGGGGCGGGAGGAGAGACGTCGGGAATTTGGGCGAGGTTGTTCCTGGTCAGATCGTCCTTGGGAGCGGGCACTTCGGGTGCAGGAGGGCTGACGGTGGTTGGTTCTTCGGTAGGCAGAGTCTGAGGGATGACAGGCTCGGGAGCTTTCTGTGCAGGCACTGGAACAGGGAGGGGAACAGGGACAGGAACAGGAGCCTGAGCGGGAACCGGTGCAGGCACAGGAGCGGGTGCAGGAGCCGAAACAGGAGCAGGAGCCGGCGCAGGAGTAGGCTCAGCTGGTTTCTGCTCTTCCACTGGTGCAGCAGCAGGCTTCTCGGGGGCCTGAACAGGAGCGGGAGCAACAGGCTTCTTCGGCTGGGGTGGCGGCGTGGGCTTAGCAAACAAGCTGGCCCATCCCGTCTTCGCTCCTCCGGGGACCACACTGGGCTTAGGAACGTCCTGGGCGTAATCTTTCGGGGCATCGGCGGGTTCGGAGATTGCTGCAGGTTCAGCATCGACAGTGTTCTCAGTCTTGGTGTTTGCGGTGGGCTCGGGAGCAGCAGTAGCAGGGGTATCGGTCACGTTGGTAGCGGCAGCTGGCTTCTCAGTACGGGCGCCATTGGTGTGAACACCAGCCCTGCCACCGCGACCACCACGGCCCCGATCTCCACGAGCACGGCCCCGGCCTTCAAACCCACCGCGTCCACGGCCCCCGCGGACAGAGGGGATGACTGACTCGGTCGGGGTGCTCTGTACCTCCTTGGGCTTAGGACGGCTGCGGTCTGTGGTCTTCTTCTTTACCTCACCCCACTGAGAGACATTGCCTGGGTAGAGACACGAACCAATGTCAGTGGCTGACCGAAAGCGAGTAGCGAGGCATTGGAATACGGGGAAAAGAGCAGACCTTCACTAATGCGATCAATTGCTGCCTCCAGGTCACCATCAGCATCCTCGAGAGCGAAGATGAGATCCTCATCGGTCCAATCGCTGAACAATTCCTTCAGCATGGGCAGGGTGTCGGAATACTTCTTCTTCATCTGGCCGATTTCTCCTTCATCTTCAAATGTGGCGGGTGCGCCCTCTGAGTTGTCTGCCTTTGTGGATCTGCTACCACCGCGACCACCTCTGGAGCTATAGCCGCCACGACCGCCACGGGCAGATACTCTGCCACGAGAGGCAGAAGGCCTTGATTGAATTTCAGACATATCGTGTAGTTGTTATTTGTGAATCTCCCGTATCGAGAGATGGTAAAGGGAGGAAGAAAGAGAATGGAGAGTGACCCAAGGTAGTCGAAGGGGAGAAAACAAGGTGCGGCTAGTGGGAAGAAAAAGCGGGTAAAAGGTCGTAATTTAGTGTACGGTAGCAATGATGGAGATGCAGCCTCACGAGAGAGGTCAGCAGCACCCAAGAACCACTAAGAAGGCACACAAGGGCCAATAGAGTCGGGGGAGATTTGAGGAAGGGGAGCTGGAGAAGTTTAGAAAAGGAAAAGAAGAAAAAAGAATACGAGAGGCTGGAGAACAAAGTTGACACACACCAAAGGAAATAAATTCTTTGGAAGAGAAAGAGAAGAGAGAGAGAAAGAGAGAGAGGGAAAAATAGGTGGGCAAAGTTGAAGGGGGAAAGAGTACAGGTAGGTTGGTAGGTAGGAGGTGCAGAAAGTTTAGCTTAGCAGATCGAGTTCATGGAATTGGATGGGGGAGGGAGTGTGAGTGAGTGAGTGAGTATTACGGAGTAGACTGGAAGACAAGACGAAACAGAGCTAGAACAGTAAGATGACAGTACACGCAGATCCGTCGGGCGCAGCCCAGCAAGATACAGCTTTATCATTGGCTAACGGTCTTACTATACCTCTTCCACACTGTACGAAGTGGTTCCTTACCGTACCTATCAGCAGCCCTGCTGTAATGATGAATTATGTCGGGGTAACGTTAGTTAAGCTTGTCACTATGTAAACTACCTAGCCTACCTCTGTGAATTTCGTCATCCATTATAAGTTAACTTAGTGAAGTTACTCGAGTACTCGTACTTGATAACTAAGGTGGGGGCATTATTGACAACTACAATTTATTAATTCACAATCTGTGAGACAGCTCAATCCGTCTTATATTGATCCGAGGCATGAATTATAATCCTTCTTAGCTCGATGGCTTATTGGTTTTACATCTCAGCCATGATACCTCAGTACTACCTGTACATTTCTTTCTGTAATCTTACACCATCGGTCCTTCCATGGGGCGAATTGCGTGGTGAGGTGGCAGCAGCCCTCGCTCACCGCCCGTCAGTTTGAGTCGAATGATCGTTTGCCATGAGTAACCGCCCGCCCATATGATCTGTGCCTCATTTTGACTAGCCCATAATATGGTGCCCGTCATGTTGGCCCATCGTCAACGCATCTCCTCGGCCGTTCTGGGTCTAAGCATAGAACACTGCTGCTGACTCTTGTCCGTTGCGTCGCTTTTCACCAATCTTGCTTAATCGAGTCACAAATTCTTCTCCAGTCAGCCGTCATTACGCCATGAAAGGCACGCCAAATTTAAATTACGCTCCCTGGCTTAAGAACCTTCATCCCCCATTGCCCCGGACTCCTCGGCAGTCGCAACAACTCCTCAATGCCCTCACATCCTCCTTTCGGCGTCAACTCGATCGCGAATATCCTGCCGCCCGTACCCCTACTCTCGATAAAGATGAAGTCTCCGAGGACCATCCGCCGAAGAATCCCGAGTCTTCCAGCTATGCGACGGACAAACATCTCCAATCAATCTTAGACAATCCGCTGTTCCGAGTACAACCCCGCAAGGAGGTCAGGGTCAAGGACCCGACTCAGGACGCCAGACTGGCAAAAGAACCCATGGTGGTATTCGAAGAGTTGGCCGCCGCGGGCAATGTCACCTCCTCTGCTTTGAGCAATTGTCTGGTGTCTCAGTTACTCCTACTGAGTGGCAAGAAGTCGGGCGATGACTTTGTCAAGGCAATGAGGGATTCTAGGACTGCATCAAGAATTGCCAGTTGGTGGTCTGCCTCCGATCCGCAGTCTAGACGATTGTTGTTCCTGCCGCAAATAACACCTCTCATTACCAAGTTTCTGGTTGCTGAAAATATGCAAAACGTAGCTTCAACTTGGTTAAAGTTGCTAGCACAGCAAGACGCCCTTGGAGGTGAGACGTTCCGACTCAAGAAGAAAGACGCGCGGATCTGGTTCGGTGGGCTTCTGAATGACCTCGTGCTTGCTGAGGCTCGGTACGGGGGTGGAATAGAGTCCGCAATGCGACTGTACGTTTCCGCCGGTAGCATCACTACTCTTGATCAGACTTCGATAATAGACGACGAGTTCTGGAAGGCAACCCTCCTTTCTGCTGGGGGCCATCTCGGCCAACAGATCATACAGAATGAACCGGAACATGCCGGTGGCGTGGAGCCAAACCTCTATGAGGACTATGTACACATCATCAACACCGTGGCTGCCAATTCGTTGCTTCATGCCTGTGTGTGTATGCATCATCCCACGCAGCCGGATGGCAGGCCCTACGTTCTCTATGTCCAAGCGCTCCCACAGGATCGGACCGCATCATGGTCCAAGGTGAGACGGGAGCATTTCATGCGTGCTGGCTTCACAGCCCTTCGCATCCTGCTTGATCAAAATAGGACTGTGCATGCTACTTGGCTGGCAAAGTATATGCAGAAGACGATATCACAGCATCTCGATCCCGAGGAAGTACAATCAGCTCAATTTGAGTTGGCACGCCTCGAGCCCGCTTGATGGCTTTCTGCACAAAAAAGCTAGACACGCTGTCCGAGGAGAATTCGCACGTCTTGCGCCGATGCAAACACATAGGTGCAAGGATAAGCTGGTAGTAATTTCGGCTTTCGATAATAGATCATGATGATCCATTCGAATACATCTATGTCACTACGCCCTTGCTCACGATCACACGAAATCAGCGCACCTACTTCGTTCACCAATGGCTTAGCCCTTTGAAAGAGCGAACCAATTCTAGTTCTGCTTTTTCTATGGAGAGTGCGCTGCAATCAGTCTCGCGCAACTAACTACTGAATACTACCTAGTCGTTATCGACCACCAAGGCTTATTAATCTTCCGTGATCCAAGCCGCTGAATCATGTTCATTGGCTCCCCCAACTCTTTCGATCGGACATGTGCTGATGCTGAGCTCCTCAGCTCAAGTTCCAGGCCCAGTCACCTTCCGAGCCTCGAAATGCGGGCAACCGAGATTGAGTTTCCGTGTGGAACGGGGAAGCGTCGCTTGTTGTTCCGGCAAACGTCACCGCGCAACCTCACCTCACTGTCTCTGATCTATTGATTATCAATCGCAATATTCTTTCTCTGCCTACAATCGATCCTTTCCCATATTTCAGATCAAATCATTCTGCATATCTTGGGTACTATATCAGGTAGGCCCATCGCCACCACACCTCAGCTGTTTTTCCTTGTCGCACGCTTAGCTATGGCTTCCGAACGGACCATCAACTCCAACACTCCTACGCCTTATGGTATGTCTGCATATTCGCAGCTGGGCTGTGGGTCTCTGTTTGATAACACAGCGATTCTGTTGACTCAAATTGACCAATATTTGCTCCTGCATTGAAGTCATTACCCCAGAATCGACCAGGACTGTGGAAGCTGGTGCGAAGAAACCCTCCATTGACGATGCCCCACTCCTAGCGGACCGCAACGGAACCTTTAAGGAGGTTATGAATGAGAGACAGTCTAACGATGAAAGTAATTCCGGTACACATGGAAAAGCTGGCGATGGGATGAACTTCTCCCGCGAAACGCAACAAAGTGATCAGACTACTAAAACTACGACAGCATCGGCTGAAAAGCTGAGCGATGAGAGACAATCCGAGCAGCGGAGTACTGGTGCAAAGTTTGAAAAGCGTGAACATGCATCAAGCTCGATGCAAGCTGATACTGTTAAATCAAGCTCCGAGCATACACCAGAGCATACGTCCAAGAAACAGAAGACGAAGGAACAGCATGTCGCTGTCAAGGACGAACTGTCGGCTTCTTCGGTTACAAAATCGAGTCAGCCTGCTAACGACCCTAAGACCTCAGCAGATCGGCTCAAGAAGAGAAAGGACGCGCCGAACAGGGATATTCCCGCGGATGGCATTGGCAGCCGAACGCGGAGTCGTACCAAGATTGCTTCTTAATCAAACCTACCACTATCAGGAACTGATCTTGCGGTCATAAGGGAAAGTCTTCTTCAGTTACACGGCGATGATCGTGCTGGACATTGACCAGTCTTGATTCTGCTACTTTTGTTCCTGCGTGAAATTCTGTGCCCGAAGTGTATGTGGACATGGTCAATGTTAAGCAATAATCAACCCTAACAGAGTATGCGATCGGCTAGGGTATCGTTTCCAAGAGCACCATAATCATTGCTAGATCATTAAACAGCATCCATATTCAGGTAGCAATGATCCTTGGTCATTTCATTAGACGGTATCATTGCTACACTACTTCCGCAAACTGCATATCCAATACTCAAGTATCGGCGTTTCAAACCGTACGTTGTCCCGGCTCTGCGCAAGTGGGTGACTACGGAGTACACTTGTCATCATAGCAGAGCTGATTTGCTAGACTAGATGCACAAAGCCCCATTATAACACTATTGGGGTCATTGGATCAGGCCCATCGAATCCAGTCCAATGATAGCGTATCTCATCTGCTAATCGCCGACATCGGCTTGATCGTCGCTGAGTCACATCCCGGAACGGAACAACACTCTTCGACCCCGCCATCACCGTAGGGGGCAAGTGTGTGTCATAGGCCTGGTAGCTATAAACTTACTTTCTTTTGCTGGAAAGTCTAGAAATTATTCCTTAACTCCTTAACTTCAATTGCGTGCAACTTCCAAGAACAAACCACAAAATCATCATGCCGTCCAACAAGATCTGGCTGCGCGCTGAAACCAAGCCCGCTGAGGCTCGTTCCGCCTGTAAGTACAACGCTATCTTGCAGTTAGACTCAATTGGCGAAAGCTGCACTCGATTTACTTTCATATGCCTCGTCACCTCCTCATACTAATCTTGTATAGTGACTCCCACCACTTGCAAGGCTCTCATTGACGCCGGATATGAGGTGACTGTTGAGCGCTCTACTCAGCGCATCTTCGATGGTAAGTTCAACTCACGTACTTGTAATGAACTTTGGGGGACTCAGTTTCTAATTGATTACTTGCTCTTTCAGATGAGGAATTTGCCAAGGTATGCAAGTCTGATTACACTGTTCTCATTGCGACGCGAATCTCACACCTGTCTGATAAAGGTCGGAGCGCCTCTTGTCGAGGAGGGTTCATGGGTTAAGGATGCTCCTAAGGACGCCTACGTCCTGGGTCTCAAGGAGCTGCCCGAAGATGATTTTCCTCTTGAGCACGTTCACATCTCTTTCGCACACTGCTACAAGCAGCAGGGTGGCTGGGAGAAGGTTTTGAGCCGGTGGCCCCGGGGTGGTGGTGTCCTGCTGGACCTCGAGTTCCTCCAGGATGAATCCGGACGCAGAGTAGCTGGTATGATTCCATGATTGACTTCGTGGTTATTGCAGCTGACTGATAATGTTGTGTGACAGCTTTTGGATGGTCTGCTGGTTATGCTGGTGAGTATATCCATGGTTGGAGTTCGCCTCGGGCTTCTTAACTAATATATCTATACAGGTTCCGCTTTGGCCGTCAAGAACTGGGCATGGCAATTGACTCACCCTGAGGGCGAGCCCCTGCATGGAGAGGAACCCTATGCCAACCAGGATCTTCTGATCAAGTCTGTCAAGGAGTCTTTGGAAGCTGGAAAGAAGCAGTCCGGCCGCTCCCCTAAGGTGCTTGTGATTGGAGCTGTGAGTATTGAACCCGATTTGGTCACAAATGAGACATCTGACAATATATAGCTTGGTCGTTGTGGTAACGGCGCCGTGCAGCTGGCTAAGGATGTTGGTATCCCTGAGTCTGACATCATCCAGTGGGATATGGCGGAGACCAAGAAGGGTATGCTGCACTCGAACAAAACCCTTGATCAGCCACTAACACCTCATAGGTGGTCCTTTCAAGGAAATCATCGAAGACGCAGACATCTTCGTCAACTGCATTTACCTATCTTCTCCCATCCCTCCGTTAGTTCTCCCATGTTCCCACGAACTACCTTTCTTCCGAAGGCTAATGACGAATCTAGTTTCGTTACACCTGAAAGTCTCGCCACACCCAACCGCCGCTTGTCGGTCATCTGCGACGTGAGCGCTGATACGTAAGTTTGATTCTCGCCTGTCTTATCAAAAGGCTCCAGCTAACAAGCATTGCAAAGCACGAACCCCCACAACCCTATCCCCGTGTACAACATCACAACTACCTTTGACAAGCCTACGGTACCTGTCACCCTGCCGGCTGGCACGCAGGGTCCTCCCTTGAGTGTGATCAGTATCGACCACCTGCCATCTCTCCTGCCCCGTGAGAGTTCCGAGCAATTCAGCCAGGCTCTGCTTCCCAGCTTGCTCCAGCTCAAGGACCGGGAGAATGCCCGCGTCTGGAAGCAGGCCGAGGATCTCTTCCAGGAGAAGGTCGCCACCTTGCCTGAATCCTTCCGCGCGTAGATATACCTTTGTGTGATTTTTGCCGACTTTTCTTTTGAAAGTCATTCTGTACAAATCTTCTTGGATACCTGTCATGATGCCTTTGCTGGACTTTTTTACGGTTGTTTTGCATGTCATGGATTGTCGTCTGGTTTACGTCATGCCATAAAATTAGATAGGTCTAAAAGCAATTTAAACCACTTGCTCTTTTTTTTTTTGAAGATTCTGATTCTAGAACCATCTTACCGTGCCATATTTATGGGAGACGCTTGCTCGGCACTGGATGTTACTAGGAGACCGGATGGCCTGAGGCCAAAAGTTAGTTGGATCTGCTGATTCAAGTGTCAAACAACACCTCCACTTCAATTCCCAAGCCTCGTCCATGGAGTCGGGCCGCATGCACCAGATATTCTCATTCTTACAGTTTTTGAAGGGGCAAGGGTAAATGATCGATTCGCTTATAAGTTCAAATAACCCGTCTAATAGGGATCATGACCGTACAGTGGAAGCAGCAAGGGATCTGCACATTATCAGCAGATGTTCTTCCTTCAAGGCTTTTCGCCTTGTCCAGCCGGCTAGGGGTCACATAACCCATTAATTTGCCTCACATTCAATACTGCTCTCACCACTGACGAGCCAGAATTAAAAGGGCGATGAGCTCTGGATACCATTTGTGGGGAAATCAGATTGCGTCGGGCAACATTGGGGGTCCACGAGGAATACGGGGCGCTCGGCGCTGAAGAACCTCCGAGATAACCCAGCAAGAGGATCGATCAATGCTTTATTGCTTTTGCCGCCTCCTGACTGCACCGGGACAACCTGCATTGCAGCATTTGTACTGAGATGAGCATACCGAATGACTACTTGTGCTATTATGCAGTGTAGTCCATTGATTACAGTACACTAGACTCGGTCTGGGTGAGATTGTCACTCTGATTGACGCCCCCCTCCCCCTCCTCACTAAACCTTACCCCATTTTCTCTCCACATCCCTCGGTCTATGGGGGCAAGACAGCTGACGATTAGTATTCCACTAGAGCTTCCGAGAAGCGAAACGTACTCCATCCCCGAGCCCCCCGAGCAGTGCCAGCCCGCTTGTACATATACGTGCCTAGTTGGAAAGTCGAAGGAAAACTCAATAAGACTCGTCTTGGCGTGACAATCCGTCTGCCTGTGTTCACTCGATTGTCACCCTCCGTGGCACATTTGTCCCATGGAGCGGCTATAGCACCGACCTCGATAGTCTGCACATATATCGCAATCCAGTCTGGCCGAGCCTGTGCCTACTCCACCTTACTCAAGAGAGCGATGCAGGAGAAGTCAACCACAGTCGCCGCATATGCGGCTGGGGCATCTCTTGCGGCCGTCGCCCTGTTCTACGTTTTCGGACCTAATTACACGATCGATGGAGATGAGTCAAGCGACAGCGGTCGCAAGAAGAGTATTGTTGGGTTGTCGAATCCTGCCAATGACTGCTTCATCAATTCCGTGCTGCAGGCCCTTGCCGGCCTTGGGGAGCTGCGAGTTTACCTGATTAGAGAACTGCATCGACGGGAGTTGGATGGTCTCGAGATCTACAGTCTCCTCCCACCATTAGACGAGATCCCACGCGATGGGAAACCAGACAAAATACGAGAATTGCAGCAAGGGACCATCACTAGGGCGCTCAAGGAGATGCTGGATCGCCTGAATGAGCGTCCTATATACAAGAAAACGATATCTGCGCGACCATTCATTCAGTCACTCGAGTACGCTTACCGGACACGAATTAGTCGGAGTCAACAGGACGCGCAGGAATTCCTCCAAATTGTAGCCGAGAGGCTCTGTGACGAATACCACGCAGGAGTCAAGGCCCGACTGCGAGCGAAAGGCATAGGCGAGCCTAACCAGGTCGCTGACTCGGATAATGAGCTTCCAGCGAAAAGCCCAACGGACATCGAAGTGCGCATCGATGACGGATCCCCAAATGGTCTCCCAGCAATCATCGACACTAAGCTCAAGGAGATTGAGAATGAACACAGCTTTCCTTTCGAGGGAAAGCTCGAGTCTCAAATCGAATGCCAATTTTGTCATTACAAATACAAGCCGAACCAGACGTCGTTCGTCAATTTGACGCTGCAGGTTCCTCAGAAGAGCTCAACTACACTCAGCGCCTGTTTCGATGGTCTACTCAAGACCGAGTATATCGACGACTTCAAGTGTGACCGGTGCCGACTGCAGCATGCTCTAGATATCAAAAAGCATGATCTGACCAGGGCCCGCTCGGGTGAGGAAGGAAGAACACTCGAGGTGGAGATTGAGCGCATACAGACCGCCATCTCCACAGATCCCGAAGGTAGCTTAGAAGGGGTCAGTTTGCCCCCTTCAGAGCTTGCTCCAAAGCGAAAGATCGCACGACACATGCGGATCGTCGCATTTCCCAAGATTATTGCCATTCATCTTTCCCGCTCCATCTTTGATCAGAGCAGTTCATCCAAGAATGCTGCGAAGGTGTCTTTCCCTGAACGTCTTCCTTTAGGCGGTATCTTGAGTCAGAAATGGTACCGACTGCTAGCGATTGTCAGCCACAAAGGTAGTCATAACAGTGGACACTACGAGTCTTTCCGCCGTAACCATCTTTATGCCCCCTTTTCGACCCCCGATGCATTCAGCTCCTACGCGCAGAGTCGAGCAACCAGTGAGAATCCTTCTGAGGCACCAAGTCCGAGGCTCGGAGCTCGTCAGTCTTCCGGGCGTGAGCCCTCTGCGCTCAGTATCTCGACACCTTCAGAACCACCGAGTCACTCGTCGCAATCTTCCCCAGCTCCTTCCCGCTCCACCTCAAGCAAAGAGTCTAAAGCATCGTCCCAGTCGAACGCCCCCTTATCGCCGACTACTCGTCCTACTACATCGAGCTCGAGGCTTTCTTTCCAGAGCAACCGTTCTCGCTCAACAACATCCAAGCCAAACCTGTCGCCTGTTTCTGATCCACTCAGCCCAGCGAATGATGGTGGACGCTGGAGCAAGACCTTCTCGAGAACGTCTCTCACCAGTGATCAAGGCACGCAGCCAACAACACATACGGCAGAGACCTCAGTAGCTTCCAGCTTCCGGCACCGCCGTCGTCGCAAGCAAAATGATAGATGGTGGCGCATCTCCGACGAGAAGGTCAAGGAATGTAAAACATCGGATGTTCTGGGCATGCAGAAAGAGGTATATCTCTTGTTCTATGAGTTGGAAAGGCCAAATACTAGTGCATAGCTTGGGTGCAACGAAGATACATAGAGAATAAAGGTCTCGCAGGTGTACATATTGGACATATCCATAGAAAGATGGATACCAGTTTGGAATAGTAGTAGCACAGGGGATGATGGTCATAACTCTTATCAGGTACATGATCTATTTTGGACCGATGTCTAGATAATAACTCATTGAATGGCCTTGTAGTATCTTTGTTGGAATGATTCACTCACGTCCTCCCAGAGTCAAACAATTACTTAGTCATCCATACCGCGACCGCATTCCGCCCGTTTACAACCTATGATTGGCGCCGGCGGGCATGGCAGCTTGCCCTGCTTTAAGGCGGGTGGATCCGAGAATTCAAGTCCTGGACTTACCGGGTAAAGTGCATGGAAGGTTGTCGGGAAGTCCAGGTCTTGTTGTGATTATTTATTATTATCTTTTTTTAATAATAATAATAATAGGAATTGTGGTTTGACCTGTTCCAGTCAGGCAACACTAACACAACACAACACACCCCCATCGCTAACTAACTTGCTTCCCACTTCCTCCCGTCCATCACATAACGTTCGGAGAACACACATAACTTACCTACATTAGCGAAATCCGAACCCTGAAGTAGGTCGCTACAAAACAAATACGCAACTGCGCTCAAATTTCATCCCTGACGTTCTGCATTAGTCAAAAAAGAGGAACAAACAGAACTTCTCTTCCTTTTCTTTTTCTCTTCTCAATTTACCATGCCTCCCAAGCGCGCAACCCGCGGAGCCGCCGCCTCCACCGACGGTCGCAAAGCGACAACCGCATCCTCCAAAGCTACCGCCCCTACGAAAACCCAGAAGAAGACAGAGTCCAAAGCACCTACTAAGGCAGCGGCGGCTGCTTCTACAGCTACTACTGCGCCTGCCAGCCGGAAACGAAAGGCTGCCGAGTCTGACGATGAGGTTTCCGCTCCCGTTGCGCGCGTCCAGAAGAAACAGAAGGAAGGTGAGTGAGAACCAAACATTCCCCAGGTCATCAAACATTATCATCGCGCGCGCACACACGCCTTCGCGCGGACGATTGTCGCTGCGCCCGATCATCCTAGCTGACATGAGGGCCTTTCCTTAATGATAGAAGCGCCTGCTCCAATCATCAATCACCCTCCCACAAAACGACTAGACGTCTACGTCTTCGGAACGAATTGCTACGGTGAGCTCGGTCTCGGGGACGCGACCAAGAAATCGGAAATCCCGGGCCCCGTCCTCAACCCCAAGCTCGCCGCAGACACTGTCGGTGTTGTCTACTTGGCTGTGGGAGGTGTCCACTCGGCGGCTCTGACGCAAGATAACAAGATTCTCACCTGGGGTGTCAACGATGAGGGAACCCTTGGGCGTGATACGAAGGAAGAGAAGAAGGAGGTCGACGAGACCAACGGCGTTAACGGGGATGACAAGGAGGACAAGTCGGATTCCGACTCGGACGATGACGAGGTCGACCTGAACATGAAGGAGGCCACGCCCATGGCGGTCGACTCGGCTCATTTCCCCAAGGGCACTGTCTTCACGCAACTGGCAGCCACTGACAGCGCAACGTTTGCTCTCACCCAGGAAGGAAAGGTTTATGGTTGGGGTACTTTCAGAGTAGGTTCTTCTTCGAAGTCTCTTGGAGGAAATCAGTACAACTTGCATTTTTTCCATACTTACAATTTCCTAGGGAAGCAACGGTGTCATCGGATTTTCCCCTGACACCAAGTTCCAGCGCACGCCGATCCTGATTCCCGGACTCGAGAAAGTGACCGAACTTGCTGCCGGTGCACAACATCTCATGGCGCTCACTTCCAGCGGCCAAGTCTTCACCTGGGGATGCGAGGAACAGAACCAGCTGGGACGGAGAATCTCCGGCCGCCTGCACGGCAAGTTGGAGAGTCTCGTTCCCGGTAAGTGTGCCTTGCCCTCAGGAGTTGTCAGCATCGGCACCGGCTCGTACCACTCCTTCGCTGTCCGCAAAAACGGCCATGTGCACGCTTGGGGCTCGAACAACTTTGGACAGACTGCTGTCCCTATGAGTGCGGGCCAGAGTGATGCTGTGGTTCTCTACCCCACTGAGGTCAAGTCCTTCCGCGAGTTCAACAAGATCGTCAGCATCTGTGGTGGAAAGGACCACAGCATCGCCGTCACGGAAGATGGCAAGTGCCTGACCTGGGGTCGCGTCGACAACAAGGCCCTTGGTCTGGCGCTGGCCGATATGCCTGCGGATGATCTGGTGCACGATGAGCATGACCGGCCTCGTATCCTGACCAAGGCCACGCCGTTGGTCGATATCAAGGATGAGCACATCGTCTTCGCCACTGCCTCCAGTGATCATTCTTTCGCAATCACCAAGGATGGTAAGGCGTACAGCTGGGGCTTCAACGTTCAACGCCAGGCCGGACACCGTGAGCTTGACGAAGTCGAGCGACCAACTCTGCTCCAGAACAAGCATGTCAACGGCAAGAAGCTGGTAGGTGCCTCGGCCGGTGGACAGTTCAGTATGCTAGTTGGCGAAGCCTCGCCGCAGCAGATGAACGGCGAGCAGGCATGAGAGTAGTAGCTATGTAAATTTGGCGGGTGTTCATGTTATCGTTTTCTAGATGGACTGGCTTTTGAAGAGCTTGTATTGCTAACAATGTGATGTCGCGATAATGGGAATCTTTTTTTTATTTGAGTTGAATACAATCTGATCTTGCTGAGAGTGGTTGCTTCTCTGATTACTTTCTTGTTCTTAAAACCATACATGTCTTCTGTGCCTTGAGAGTGTACATCCTCGCTATGCTGCTCCAGTACCTGATCACCCCAAGCCCAGGCCCATAGATAGAGAAGCCGTTCCTCGGGAGTCGGCAGTCTCCCCGACTTATGGCTAAACCCGGGGCCGCCGAGGTGGTTCTCCACAACCGCCTGGCCCTTTACTTGCTTATTTCTCCGTATATCGCTGGTTTCGAGCAGATCAGCTGGACTGGGGTAAACGCAGTCTAGGCCCTTGGGGAGAGGGGGCAGAAATAGAACGAATTGATTGGAATATGTCAGCACCTCATGGCCGGAGGAATTCTCCCCGTCAATTTTTCCGATGGATAATAGATGGAAGCACGAAAGAAATACGGAGAGCCGGGGGAAGAAATAGAGTGATATACCGATTTACGGAGGGATTGGGGGGAAGAGCTATAGCCGGTGTTGTGTTGCTGGAGGACACGGCAGTACGGTTCACCTTGTATGCAGTCAAAGTAGTCAGAGGGCATGAGGATGAGCAGTCTTTCAAGAAAGGCTCAGGGTTGGAACAACAACCATATCATCATTGCGAACTGCAAGCAAGCAGAAACAAACCGGTCGAGGGGAAAAAATCACTCGTAGACCAGCTGCAGGGTGGACAGCCTGGAGGCAAGTGGAACAAGCCGGGCCGGGATGATGTCAAGGGAGGGACGCGGGGATTCCCGGGAAGCCGGCTGCGGCCTGAGACATGAGGCAGGAATGGAGACCTGCAGGCTGCAGCGCGCGTCATCGGCGGCTTCAGAATGGAAGCATCATCCATCAAGTTCATCATCCATCGGACCTCAATTGTCCGGTTTACGTTTCAATTCTGAAGAACCTTCTTTAGGGGCTGTTTCGATCCCTTTCTTCGACCTCAAGCTCTTCTTTCTGTGACCTTCTTCGTCTGGTTCTTGCTCGACTACAAGCCAACAAACAGCATTGAGCACTGATTTCATACTGAACACATCGTTCCCCACCAGCCGGTGAGTTCTTCGAGCACTGCGAATCTGTGCCCCTCCATGACACACTTCGTCACTACGTACTGCCCCTCTCTTTCTTTGTCCACCCACCCACCCTTTTCCCTTGCACTGCATCCTTCCTTCCCCACCCCCTCCTCTCATATCGTCCTCTCAGAGTGGTTTCTCCCTAGCAACCTTGTACTCTCACCCGTTGCCCCTCCCTGCCCGATTTAAATCTCCAGCTCCGTATTCGTCGCTCGGTAAAGGCCTGTTAGTCCAAAGCTATTCCCATCATAATTTATTTCAACCTTCTTTCCTCTCCTCTCTTCCTCTTCTTCCTCTTCTCTTTTCTCTTTTCTTCTTCTTCTTCCCATCAAATCTTCATCTCTCCATCTCTCCATTACTCATCACCTTAACTAGTAAACCATCAGACTTCAAAACTATCACAATGGGTGTCCTTGAGAAGCTTTCCCGCAAGTCCGGTGTCATCGTCGGTGATGACGTCCTCCGTCTCTTCGAGTACGCTCAGGAGAAGGGCTTTGCTCTCCCCGCCATTGTAAGTATTGCAGGCCAGAACTGGCCTTCCCAAAGCTTCAAAGCAGCTGAGAGCTAACCCACGTCTACCATTGTAGAACGTGACCTCCTCTTCCACCGTTGTCGCTGTCCTCGAGGCTGCCCGTGACCAGCAGTGCCCCGTTGTCCTGCAGGTCTCCCAGGGTGGTGCTGCCTACTTCGCTGGCAAGGTATGTATTTCATAAGTTCTGTGCGCCGTCCAGACGGGCAATGGCTGACTGTGTAATCCAGGGTGTCAGCAACGACGGCCAGAAGGCCTCTATTGCCGGTGGTATCGCCGCTGCTCACTACATCCGCAGCATTGCTCCCGCCTACGGCGTCCCCGTTGTCCTCCACACCGACCACTGCGCCAAGAAGCTCCTTCCCTGGCTCGACGGTCTCCTCGATGAGGACGAGCGCTACTTCAAGCTCCACGGCGAGCCCCTCTTCTCCAGCCACATGATCGATCTGTCCGAGGAGCCCGTTGAGGAGAACATTGAGACCACCGCCAAGTACCTTAAGCGTGCTGCCCCCATGAAGCAGTGGCTCGAGATGGTAAGCATTGTGTGAACTCCCGTGCTACTTCATTCAATCTAACATAATTGCTTCAGGAAATCGGTATCACCGGTGGTGAGGAGGACGGTGTCAACAACGAGGACGTTGACAACAACTCCCTCTACACCCAGCCCGAGGACATCCTCGCCATCCACAACGCTCTCGCCCCCATCAGCCCCTACTTCTCCATTGCCGCTGGTTTCGGCAATGTTCACGGTGTCTACAAGCCCGGCAACGTCCGTCTCCACCCCGAGCTCCTCGAGAAGCACCAGGCCTACGTCAAGGAGAAGACTGGCTCCAAGAAGGACAAGCCCGTTTTCTTCGTCTTCCACGGTGGCTCCGGTTCCTCCAAGGAGGAGTACAAGCAGGCCATCAGCTACGGTGTTGTCAAGGTCAACCTCGACACCGATATGCAGTACGCCTACCTCACCGGTATCCGTGACTACGTCCTGAACAAGAAGGACTACCTCATGAGCACCGTCGGTAACCCCGATGGCGAGGACAAGCCCAACAAGAAGTTCTTCGACCCCCGCGTCTGGGTCCGCGAGGGTGAGAAGACCATGAGCAAGCGTGTCCAGGTCGCTCTGGAGGACTTCAACACTGCTGGTCAGCTGTAAACGAAAAGAAGCTTATTAATGTTTCTCTGATGTGATGTGTTTTCGAATTTGACGAAACCAGATACCAAGTACATAAATTCAAACCAATTTCTTCATTAATTCTTCGGATGGGACGGGGAGGTGTTTGAGTGAGCGTAATATGGATTTGTGATGTGGGGTTAATGGGTTGATGTGCGCGGGGTTGGAGTTGATGATGTATGTTGTCGAGCTTCTTGACTTGTGAAGTAGGCTGAAAGAATCACTTTCCGATGACTGATTGCATGGCGTGTATAAATCTGTCATGATTCATCTCTCCTATTCATGAATGGATGTTGACTCAACCATCTCAGATATCCTCGCAAGCCCTGGTGTTGCATAACTGAATCGAGTTCAGTTAGTTATAGTCTGCTTTCCTCCCTCCGCGTTCCTGACACTCGAGTGATTGTACGAACAGCCCTTCAGCATACTCAATTGAACGCATGGCCGGTGGGGGTGCTGGAAAGTACAGATTGATCGGTCAACCCAATTGACTTTTTTTTCGCTTCAATGTGAACCGTGGATACATCGGCACCGTTGACAAGGTTGAATGTTGACGTCAAATTCCTCCAGACAATTGATCGTGTTGATCAGGGCGTATAAGCCCGCAAATCTGAGCATGTGACGTGTCTCGCTCGCATGGCTTAGATGGTAAAGCGCAGCACTAGTAATGCTGAGATCCTCGGTTCGAGTCCGAGTGTGAGCAGGTGTATTCATTTTTGCTGGTTGTCTTTTTGTTTCCAGTCGGGTTGAAAGCTGAACCGTGCTCGGGGTGCTCTCTCTCCCTCTCCCTCCCTCTCTCTCTCTCTCTCTTTGATTGTCCTGATACATATCTACCTAATTAATGCTAATTGACCTGTCTACTCTGTTGCTGTTGGGATGTAGCGTGGCCGGCTTGGGGGAGGGGTGTCAGAATCCTGGAGCAGGCTATCGAGATTGATATGTTTGGCATGGAAATGTATTCTATGGGTCAATTGGGAACGAAAATATACACTGTGGTGAACCTGGAGCACCGGGATATTCTCCTTGTACGCCACAATGTTCTGCTCTGGTGGGTCCCGCCATCCAAAGACAATCCGACGAAGTATATCCTCTTTTCGACCACGACTCAAAGCATCATGGTAAACTCTATGAAGTTCAATTCGTCCCCGTCCCAGCAAGCTCGACGGGATTCTTCTGGAATTCCACGCCCCGACCCAGCTCGATGGGCAAGTAGACGCTTCTCGGCGGCACTGCGGACCAGAGCGAATTTGTTTCCAGAAGCGCGCCCTATGACAGCTTCCCCATCTATAACATCTTTAGGCGGGTAGTATCAGGCCCGTCTGGAGTGGATAAAAATATGAGGCTGGGCAAGCTGGTCGTCATACCTCAACCTGCCTCAGGCATGGGGTGAATCTCGTGTTTTCCCGAGTGATATACCATGTATGGCCGCCGGCGCAGGACTCCCTGGACACCAAACCCGAATGCAGGGTACACGGAGCTTGACGCTGTAGTATCCTGAACGTGAGTCACCAGAGTTGGTGCGGATTGTGAAGCTCGTTGTGCCGGGGGGGGGGGGGAGGAACGCCGGCGATAGTGTCGTGTGTTCTTCAGTGTTGGTGGTGATTCTGGTTATACTCGGTCTGGAAGGTGCCGTGGCTGTGCCTGGATGGGATATACTGATGGTGAGCCGGGTTCTTTGTCTGCACCCGATCTTTCGTGTGCAAGTCGCGGTACTGACTCGTCTCGCTTGCCGCATCTCTTTCTCGTGGTATCTAGAGCACCGCTCCTATGTAGGCGACGCGATGGGGGATCTTTGGCCAGCCTCCATGCACCAAACGGCCATAACAGGCTATTTCGTACCTGTGTCGGCTGTATGAATTCATCATAGGCTCCACTATGGTGAGAAAATTGGAGTCTCGTATTACAAGCAGCACAATGCCCGGGAATCTATCATGTCAAACAATCCTTAATGGAGTTGCGGTGAGTTAAACCATCGAGGCACTGCTACATTCCCAGTATATGAGGGACGTATACCAGCCTGTACCTGGCTGCCAGCCCGGGAGAATGTCAAAACAATAATCAGTTCCATCTGACTACTGATGTAGTATGGATGATGCTCCTATGCACGATGAGGTCATTTGTTCCAGTTGAGTGATCGGTCTTCTAGAAGTAGCTTAGAATATGAGAACAAAGTTTAAGAGCAAGCTCAGCCAATCAGCTCGCATGGCTTAGATGGTAAAGCGCAGCACTAGTAATGCTGAGATCCTCGGTTCGAGTCCGAGTGTGAGCAAGTGTTAAGTTTTTGCTCTTCGTCAACCTTATACCGACTGATTGGGCCCTCCGCTCAATTAAGCAAGTCTGAAAGCAAGCTCAACCAAGCAGCTCGCATGGCTTAGATGGTAAAGCGCAGCACTAGTAATGCTGAGATCCTCGGTTCGAGTCCGAGTGTGAGCATCGTCATCTTTTTTTGCTCTCGTATCAGACTCATCTACCTTTCTATCATGATGAATGATTTGCCCGACGGTTTCACTTGCGCTGTTAGCGCTATGCATGCCTAAGACAACCCCGTCATCACCCATGGATACTTACTCCACACGTCCTCAACCGATGATGAGATCGGCCTGTTGTCTTCTGCCATAAGCGCCCAGCATCGCGGCAGCCAACCGTTCTTAGCACACAGGCCTACGTTTAAATTTAGAAACGAGCAACTCCCTCCATGCCGTGTAGATAGCGGGTACGCATGTTGAACCCTTGGATCTGCATGGCCGCTGCCGTGCCGTTCCCTGCCAAAGAAAGCAGACGTGCTCACATTGCAGTGTTTGTCCCGTGCTGAGAAGATTGATCACCTCCCACTCAATTCCAGTTCAGGGAAGCTCCAAGCCCAGGACATTCAGAGTGTAAGGGCCTGTAAGTAACTTAGTCGAGGTGCAGATGCAAACAACACGTGCCTCTCTGCAAGTCGGGTAAGGTCACCGGGATGCGAACAACTGCGTGACAACCTATGTTCCCTCCCATGATTCCGTACAGACCGCAGATATGACCCAAATGGAGACCATACCCGCAGACTCCACGGATGGGGCAATGGCATCGGGGTAGATTCTCGCGGTGTGCAGGAAAGACCGGGTGATGCATCGGAGTTCAGTCTATACTTGCGGATTGAGAGATCGTGTTGACCGGAGCAGATGCGGGGTTCCGGCCGTCAAGAGATTACTCGCGTACGAAGATGGTAAGAAGCGTGCTATCGACATCATAGCACAAGTCAATGCCATGATCTGTTGGGATGGAGCGGAGCTGGCCCAAACTCAACTTTAGTGTTTTCATCATGATCCTCGCCCGAGTGAAAACATTACCTAGTTACTGTAGGCAAAGTAGTCATCCGATCAGGCCGTTAGAAGGGTCCTGTGGCTTGACTGCCGTGACCCAGAATAGAAGCAGATGACTCCATTTGCCGGCAATTGACAGCAAGACCCGACTTCGATTGGACCCCGAGTCTTTTTTCTTCTCGACATTTCATTGCGGTGTGCCACAATGGGGTGCACACCAGCCACACCACTGTGGTACATAGGTTAGTATGGGTACGGTAAGGAGTGGCTGAAAGAAGGGTTGAGCGTGGCTCTCCAGGCTGCCGATGGTTTCGAATGTACCGGTCGTGGTCAGTCAAACCGAGTTTTGCGTACCGGGGGACCCGAGGGTCTGAGACATGCTACCCTAGGCCCGCATTGGTTGGTCCACCAGGATAATAGCCCGACCATCTCTTGCATCCTCATCCAACCATAGAAACCCCAGTGGAGTTACTCTCGTTGTTTGGTTTTCATTTTTCTTCTTTGGCTGCTTTTTTGGGTCGCCCTGAGGGCTCACTTGGATCCGTCTGAGACGCTGAACCACGTCGGGCGGGTAAACAAAGCGTGCAGTCCGGGAGGAACGAGGAGGAAGAAACAATATGATAGATAACATACATAGTGCATTGACTCCTTTCAATTTGATTTCCAGGAGAAACAAGTACTCTGCACAGTACGGAGACTAGGTACTCTTTAGACTGCAAGTGTACATGTACCACCACTTCTAGTGCTAGCTAAGTTCTAACACATTACTAGTACCAGTGAGAAACACTCATCCGGCTCCACTCAGTCAACGTATGCAGTGCGCATCTCGACCTCCGACTGTCAGAAGTGGAATTTATTGATACGTACTGGAGGTACGTCAAGGGAGAGTCCAGTCCGGCCCATTCTTGACGCTCGTTTGTTCCCTCCCCATTTCCCCCAGGAAGTCAAGGTTCAATCCTCCACTGGATTGCAAATCAAATCCACGAGAAACCCATCCCTCAGCAGCGTTGTCGTTCAGAGCAGATTGTCAACCGCTAGACTAGAGGGTGACTAGTGGTGGTGGTCGAGACCCGCCTCCAAACGCGAATCCACTTCTCCATCATCGCTGATTATCTTTCTCTCTCCTCTTGTTCGCCTTCCCACGCCCATCTCTGATTTTCCTGGTTCGGTTTCACATTCTTCGCCTCACTCACTTGCACTCCTCCTGTCGATTGCCGTTCAACAGTCGTTCGCTTCTTTTTATCCTTCCTTGTCGCGCGCTCGCTCACTCCGCCACCTATCTCTCCTCTGCCTTGGCTTCGCTCCGTCGATGCCGCCTCGGCTTCAATAAACACCATGCAGTCTAGCGCTCTCTGGCGGCGCGACGATTCCACGGATCAATTTCTCAAACTCATCCAGAACCCTTTCAAATCCGCCGTATGTTCTGCTTGCCCCATACAACCGCTTTCCCTCAATGCATAACTAAGAAGCACAACAGTTTCAAATCAACGCCGTCTGGGCCTCGTTGGCCACCTCCGCCGCCTTCAGCGTCCTCCTTGCCCTCCTATTCTCGCTCTTCAGACCTCGTCACTCCCTCGTCTACGCGCCCAAAGTCAAGCATGCGGACAAAAGACATACCCCGCCACCGGTGGGAAAGAGCTTCTTTGCCTGGCTCAAGCCCGTGGTGCGCACCAAAGAGCCCGATTTAGTCGACTGTGTCGGGCTCGATGCCACCATGTTTATCCGATTTGCCAAAATGTGCCGGAACATCTTCATCTTCCTGAGCATCATCGGTTGCGGTGTCATGATTCCTTTGAACCTCACGCAGAGCCAAGGCAACACCGTCTCCCAGTTCGGCGCCTTTGCGACGATGACCCCGCTCTATGTCAGCACTGACGCTATCTGGGGTCAGGTTGTTTGCGCCTGGCTGTTCGATATCATCGTGGTCTTCTTCTTGTGGCGGAACTACAAGGGTGTTTTGTCTTTGCGCAGAAAATACTTCCAGAGTGCCGATTATCAGCGCAGTCTCCATGCGCGTACACTGATGGTGTGTGAAGGTCCCGCGAGTCAGCTCTCACTGACAAACCCACTAACCACGTTATACAATAGATCACCGATATCCCACCGTCAGCACGTTCGGACGAAGGCGTTCTGCGTTTGACGGACGAAGTCAACCCGACAGCTGCCCTCCCTCGAGCCGCCATTGGCCGTAACGTGAAGGATCTACCCCGTCTGATCAAGGAACACGACGAAACGGTGCGACAACTCGAATCTGTGCTGGCCAAGTATCTCAAGCGACCCGATCGACTCCCGCCCAATCGCCCGACCATGACCCCGCACCGGAAAGATAGAAGTGAGCACCCGAGCGGCAAGGTGGATGCCATTGATTACTTGACAAGTCGTATTCAGCGATTGGAAGAAGAGATCCGACATGTTCGGTCTTCTATAGATAGACGCAACGCCATGCCTTTTGGCTTCGTCAGCTGGGATATGATCGAGCATGCGCACGCTGTGGCATACAACGCACGCAACAAGCACCCTCAAGGCACGACCATCGCCCTGGCCACTCGCCCGGACGATCTGATCTGGGAGAACCTCCCTCTGTCCAAGGGCGCACGGAGGTGGAAACGATTCCTCAATGCGATCTGGGTGTCGCTCTTGACATTCGTGTACATTGTTCCTAACGGATTGATTGCCATCTTTCTGTCCAACTTGTCGAACCTGGGTCTAGTGTGGCCCGCATTCCAGACATCGCTCGATGCCAATCCCAAGGTCTGGGCCGCAGTTCAGGGTATCTTGTCTCCCGCCATCACATCCCTTGTCTACCTCGTTCTACCCGTCATCTTCCGACGGCTGGCAATTCGGGCGGGCGACGTCACTAAGACCTCTCGCGAGCGTCATGTGCTTGGCCGGCTTTACTCGTTCTTTGTATTCAACAACCTTATCGTTTATTCCCTATTCGCTGCCGCCTGGACATTCGTCTCCGCTGTCATCGATGCCCAGAAGACCGACAACAACGCTTGGAAAGCCATCCAGGATGGACAGTTCTATGAGAAGATCGTGAGTGCCCTGTGTAACGTGTCTCCCTTCTGGGTGACCTATTTATTGCAGCGAAACCTGGGTGCCACCATTGATCTGGTTCAGTTGGTTACTGTCTTCTGGGTATGGTTCTCCAAGACGTTCCTCTCGCCTACCCCTCGCCAGGCTATTGAGTGGACGGCTCCACCATCTTTCGAGTATGCCATGTATTACAACTACTTCCTCTTCTACGCTACCGTCGCGCTTTGCTTTGCGACACTACAGCCCATTGTGCTACCCGTCACCGCGCTCTACTTTGGGCTGGATGCAATGATGAAGAAGTACATGCTGATGTATGTGTTTGTGACCAAGACCGAGTCTGGCGGTCAATTCTGGCGCGTTCTGTTCAATCGCATGGTTTTTGCGGTCATCTTGTCCAACATCGTCATTGCCTTTGTGGCTAAAGCCAAGGGTACTTGGACCATGGTTTATTGTGTGGTTCCGCTGCCGTTCATGATGCTCGGCTTCAAGTATTATTGTATGAGGAAGTTCGATTCTGACATCACCTACTACAACCGCGCGAACCTCACGGATGCCGAGGCCCTGGCAGTCAGCAAGCCGAACAAGAAGGCATCTGAGCGGCTAAACGCAAAGTTCGGCCATCCCGCCCTTTACAAGCCCCTCATCACCCCGATGGTGCACGCCCGGGCTGCGGAAGCGCTGAAGCGTATCTACAGCGGTCGTCTGGGAACTGCCGACGCCGAGGGTGAATACTCAGACATTGCCATGGATGCCATGTCGACGGCTCACCCGGGAAAATCTATGATGGACGCCACGGGCCCGGCGCCTTTCGAAGTCGTCCCCGAAAATCACCTGGACTTCTCCTATTACAAGGACCGGCCGGATTTCAGGGACGAGTTTGGCGGCGGTATCTATGGTCGTCCGGACGATGTGTTTACCGAACGCTCGCATACGCCCCGGAGTGCATTGGGTGAGTGGTCGCCCACCTCTTCGCGCGCCTCGTCTCCGACCCCATCGGTGCCGTCGCTCTCCGGGTTGAAACCGCACGATAGCTACGATCCGACCGCCTACGACCACATCCATCCTGCCTTCCGTGTTCCCGCACCCATAGGAGGCAGCGGACTCTATCATCAGCGTAACGAGAGTGAGACGGAGCTGCTTGCTCAAGCACAACAGCCGGCAGTTCCGGAGATGGCCACGCCATTGGACCGCTGGCGGACGAGAGGTTACGGTCCTGTCGAGCAGGATGATCCCACTTTCACCTCGTATGAGCACTACCGAATGCCACACTAGGCGCTGTGTGCAGATATGATTTTTTTTATTGTTTTGCAGCGACAACGATTACCAGATCGTTGATACATTAGATTTTGGGATGGGATTTTTGGGCTTCCTCTTGCGAGGAGGCAGGAGTAGCGGAAGCAACGTGCCCACGACTATTTTGTTTTTGTTTAAACATTTGAGCAAGAGCTGTACATATATACATGATTAGAAGATTTGTGCGTAAATACGGATTTCCGGATCACATGCAAAAGTGGACGAGATGTGTTTTGGTTCAATAACAGTAATAACAAATAGCCTACTAAGTGCATGGAACTACTCGTACTATGCCTGAAAGGAACTTGGAAGGCCGCTGAGTCCTCAGGTACCGAGGGTGCTGACCAATTAATGGCCAGACCCGCAGCTCATCGGCCCTCACGCTTCGTCCATCATCCGTCATCAACTTCCCCTCTCTCCTCTCTCATACCAACCAGCTTCGATTGCTTCACGGGGCTGCAATGTGGTTGTTCATCTCCAGTCAAGGTAGCTCCGTGACTGCCCGACCGACTTCTCCTGCAACAACTGACCATCGGCCCACGTACCTTGCTGCTTGCACCCACCACTCCTAAGTGCCGAGCCGGACTCCGGGTGCCGTCGGATTCCCTGTGATCGAATACAAACAGCTTCGCCATACCCCAGTCAACACAACAGGGAATATATAATCCACAGCCAGCGGACAAGTCCTGGCGACTGCTGTACCTGTTTGCCAACTCGTGCCGTACCCACACCGATGCTCGCCGGACTTCTAGCAATCCCACCACCACCAATCGACTGAAACGAACAATACACCACCTTCCATTACCTTCCGCGTCTCTCCCTTTCTTCTACAACAACCCATATCCCTACCCATAATAATCTCCAAGCCTTGACATACACCACCATGGCATGGTACTCACTTCTTCCGTCCGACTTTCTCTATATTGAAAATTGGCTTGTGCGAGTCTTTGTCCGTCTCACGCCCCCCCCCCCCCCCCCCCATCCCCTCCCTCTCCTTGCTTACCGCTTTTCCTTTCAAGCTTACCACTAACGGTCGATTGGTCACACCATAGATATTCCTCGGCTTTGTCACTATACTCCCTTGGGCTACATTACTGGTCTTCGACATCTGTCTGTACATTTGGCGGATGGTGAAATATGAATTCCCCCTCATCGGCGGACGAGCGCGGGGTAAGCAGCGACCGCGAGCCCCGAGCTTGAATGAGAGGCCGGATGGGCAGCCCAGGGCCCTGGGGCTGGGGACGGGGGCCCTAGTCAATGACATCGGAGATGGGGGGATTGCAAGCGTGGAGAAATTACGAAGCAGAGGGGGGAGGTATGAGGGAGACGAGGACACCTGAGCGCATTTGGCGTCTCCCCGCTTCTGTGTTGAGAGAGCTCTGCTCGCCTCCCGGTGAGGCTATTTTCCTTTAGTCTTGTCGAATTTTGGATTGATGCTGCCTTGGATGAATACTCTGACTGCCGATTGGCTACCGCGTGGAAGGGAAGGGTGGATGGATGCAGTGCCTGTGCTCAGGTGGTAGTTGGCGGGAGGTCTGCATGTATGGACCAAGTGACTGGCGACATGTTTGAAATTCGTCTGTGTATATTGATACCCTGTATGTACTCTGATTTCTGCGTATATCAATTTGTCCTCATCTAAATCATCAGGTGCCAAGTTGCTATCGTGACTAAGGTACTATCGGCCGGTTGAGCAATCAGCATACAGCGGGGATCCCCACCAATGGCAGCCCGCGATAGTATGCCATTCATGAGAGGATAAGGTACTGGTGCCAGTACTATCTGGGCTGCCGCATGATAACGTGGAAGTCTTCTATCGAAGTACTGCAGTGCACTCTACTCGCACCGCTCCTACATCTCTCCAGGCTCCTCAATTCTTCCTCCTCTTTCAGCCCGTTTTACCAGAAATACTAGTATACCCAAGAGGTCGGACAATGGACCTTCTCACATCAACCGTTGATGCCAGCATACTATACGTCGAGCGGAATCCCTTCCCAATCGTCTTCCTTGTACTCACCCTCTGGCTCTTTGGACGATTCATCCGAGTATGTCTCTCTGATCATGTACCGTGAGATTGGAACTGACTGAAGATTGCCCAGGGCCAGCCAAACTCCATTGACAATGTCATCTCGGAAGCAGAGAAAGCTGGGTACCCGCCCATTGAGCCTCTCCACTCCTTCGACTGGGAGACCACCGAGCCACTGCAGTTCCGACCTTTCAAGGCGAAGTATCATCTCACAATGGGTATGGAGCTCCGAGTCTCCCCGTGCAAATCTTTCTCTGTCCTCGTTCGTCGCCCATTCCTGTTGCACAGGGCAGTGTCTTAGGGACGCTCTACGCCTCGCTTCAATGCACCCTCCTGATCTATAATGGACTATATCCCCTATGGCCCGTTGTTGTTGTCATTAACCCAAGACCAACCTCATTCCCCATCATGATACGACAAACTAACCCACCCCCGACAAATCAGCCCTCTCGAACCTCGACATCTCCACCCTCATCCCAATCGACAAGACCTACAGATCCCGACTCGCCTACCGCCAGTCCCTGCTATCGAAATACCCTTCCGTCGTGATCGGCATCGGACCCACCGCCGAAACAGAGGGCAGCCTCGCCCACTCTGCCGTCCGCGAGCTCTACGAGTTTGTTCTCGGCGTATACCTCCCCACCAGGTATCCGGGAGTCTTTGATTTGATTGACTCTGCTAGCAGCAGCAGCAGCAGTCTAGGCCCAGAAAGCAGCACGAGTGACGAAAAAGAGGAGGGTGGTCTAGCCGAACCGACGGCGACGACCGAGAAGAAACCGAAATACCTCCTCAACAGAATCACCAATCATTCCATCCCGACCAAATGCCCCACCTCCGCCCGCGAAGCTCTTACCACGCTGGGAACGGTCGTGGACGAGGACTTCCTGATCCTACTGCCTACCTCGCAGGTGGGTCCACCGTATGGTGATGAAGAGAAAAAGGCGGAGGAAGACGAATACACCCTGCAAGCGTACACGACCTTCTACCCGGCGGGATTCGACACGCGGGAGAAACTCGGCCGCACGCTCTCCGCCATCCACGACCCGGTGCCGCGGTACAAGGAGAAGCTGGAGAAGAGTATGGACCGATTCTTTGCCAGGCTGGAGGTCGGGCGGTTCGTGCAGCGGGTGAATTGGAGTGTGACGACGGGGACGGAGCTATTTGCTGCGTTCGGGGGCATTCATGGAGATACTACGAATGATGGTGGGGAAAAGGGCGGGAAGGATGATGGGGTGATGGGATCGGATGAGTTGAATGTTGATGATGTATGTTCTGTGCATTCACCCCTTTCCTACCGAATGTCGGCTCTCGTTGTCTTTTGTTGTGTTGTGTTGTGTTATCCGGGCATGAGATGTGCTGCTAACCTCGGTTGTAGACCTTCCTGCGCTGCGAGCGCCAGACGCTCCATCGTCTGCCCGAGACCAAGGCGCTGGTGTTCACCTTCCATACGTATACTTACCCGGTCCGGACGGTCAAGGAGGAAGGATTAGGCGAGGAGCTGGCGCAGGCGATCGATGGGTTGAAGGGGGGCAGTGTGCCGGAGATGTGGTGGTATAAGAGGGGGGCGGTCTGGGGGGAGGCAGTCAAGGCATATCTGCGGGGGTGACACAGTCTACATGCTAGAACCCATACTAGACTTTTTGGAGAGTATAAAGCATAGAGCTTATTCGTCGCTCGGATAAGCAGATACTGTCTGTCATGAATGCCCTTCTGCAGCGTTAGTATACATAAAAACCGAGCATTACACACTTCCTCATGAATGGGGAACCGAGGCACCTGGGACCATTTTCTGCCACCGCCAAAACCTACCACTCTGCCCCACTTTTTTCCGGGGCCTGTTCATGGCCGAAATCGCTGCTGCGGCCTGCGAGGAGGTCGCCACCGTTCTGCCGCGGAGAGCGGTCAATGAGAATGTACTATAGCTCCACCGCCTAGAGCGGCAGAACGCTCGCGACCTCGCGGCCGGAATCCAGATTTCGGCCATGAACAGGCCCCGAAAAAAGGTGGGGCAGAGTGGTAGGTTTTAGCGGTGGCAGAAAATTCCCGCTCAATTAGGAATAGTGCACTCCGCCGAGACCCAAGCACCTTCGCGACTTAGACTACCTAGTCAACTGCAGGTAGGTCTTATCGGATAGTATCCTTACTATCCACACCGCGGCCGGCCCTCAACATTGCTTCCAAGTTACCTCCAGGCTTACCTTCCTACCCTCTATTTTCGACCAACATAACCACCAACCACCAAGCATACAACTCACCACCACGATAACACCAAATTCCCACCCCCCCGAAACCGAAGAGGAAACAAAAATGTCCAACCAAAACCTCTACGGCCACCCGCCACGCAAAAAGCAAACCTCCTCTCAGCCAGCCGCCCCCTCCTCCTCAACCCTAGCCTTCACAACCACCCTGTCCAACCTCATCGCCGCCCGGGATCCGGGTTCTTCGACGTCCACGTCAACCGGCCGCCCCCGCCCCTCCAAATCCAAAGACGCTTCCGAGGGGTTGTTCGCCCGCCCGAACCGCGGGGCGCAGAAGCGCGCGGCGCAGGATCTTGTGGTGGACGAGAGCGATGCGATGACGACACTCTCCGGTGGAACTGCGCAGGTGCACCAGCGGACCCGGGATCTGGGGGGACGGGTGGACGAGGCGGTGCTGCAGCGGTCGAAGCGGCGGATGCAGGAGAAGGCCAGGGTGTATGAGGATTTGAGGAGGGGGTTGTATCTTGGTGGGAGTGATTCTGAGTCGGAGGGTGATGGTGGTGATAGGGCAGGGGAGGGGAAAGGGGAGAGGTATTTGAGGAGGTTGAGGCGGAGGGAGAGGGAGGGGTTGGTGGATTTTGATCGGAAGTGGGCGGATATGCATTCTCGTTCTGATGAGGAGGGTGAGGAGGGGGAGGAGGGGGAGGGAAGGGATAGGGATGATGCGTCGATTGTCTCCTACGAGGATGAATTGGGGCGGACCAGGCGCGGGACCAGGGCTGAGGCGGCGGAGGCGGCCAGAGTGAAGAAGCAGCAGCTGGAGGAGGAGGAAGATGGCCGTCACGAGGCCGGGGAGAGGTGGCGGCCCCGTCGGCCGGAGAACCTCATATATGGGGAGACCGTGCAGAGCGAGGCGTTCAACCCGGATGCGAACGTCGCGGCGCACATGGCCTACCTGGCGAAACGCCGGGATCGCTCGGTGACCCCGCCGGAGGAGACCCATTACGATGCCGAGGCCGAGGTCAGGAACCGCGGCACCGGGTTCTATGCCTTCGCCAGGGATGAGGAAACTAGGAGGCGGCAGATGGAGGAGCTGCGCGCCGCGAGGGAGGAGACGCAGAGGGAGAGGGAGGAGAAGCAGCAGCGGCGCGCGAGGAGGGAGGAGGCGAGGAGCGAGAGGCGCGTCAAGGTCGACGAGTTGAGGTCCAAGAGGCGCGCCGAGATGTTCCTGGCCGGGTTGGGCGACGTCGGCGTGGTATGAATTACTTCCACCCAAATTTCGCATTCGTGCTGGCGTTGCGTGTTTGCTTCTCTAGAGATACCCATCGAACTCTTAATCATTCATGACATTAAAAGAATCCAGGTCCACGGAGTAATCAAGGGGTATCATTGCCTGGTCTGAGACCAGCTTATGTATATATAGCATATGCCACCATCACGGTCATTCCGACAACAAACAGGAAACCTCCGGATTAACTCTTAGTGGTCATCAATCATCAGTCATCAATCGTGTTCATTTTTCTTTTGGCAGTAAATGTGTCATCCACGCGCGAGCTCAGTCATAGTCTCATAAAAGCCTTGCGCATCTAACCAGAGTTAGTTTCTTCTACACATGAAATGATCGCTAGTACGTACCCGAACGATGGGTGAATTTCAGGACATGCTCTCCTCGAGTTGTCTGAGGGGGTGTATAATCAGGGAACGTGAAGATACTCCGGCGTATCTCCTTCAACACCACAACCTTAGGCTCAGTACGGCGAATCCAGCCGCGAGTCCCGATGTGGTCTGTGATAAAAGCCGTCCAGACGGGGGATCTAGATCATTCAGCCAGACGGCCGTATGGCACAATTCGTTGAGACTTACCGCTTCAACTCCCCCTTGTGGACCGATGCCTGGAGCCGTACAGCGCCGGACACCTCGTCCCGGTAAACACGCAATGCATGGAGGAAGTCGTCGTCCACAATTTGTCTGGCTGGCTCGGTTATCGCCTATCGCCGTCCACTGGACAGGGGTGACCTTACCCTCCAAAGAGTTCTTCCTCTTGCGCCAGCTCGTAATCGCGGATACTCTCCACAGCCACAGGACGCCCGGAATCTTGCGATCGAAGTGCCAAAAAGGTGCAGAAGAAAATCACCATCTCTGCTTTTGCGTTAGTAGAGCCCAGTAGAACACCCACTTATCGCACGTACGCTCGATGGTGCTGAATTTGAGGTTGGCCCACAGAACCAGTTCGCTGCCCCCACGACGGCGCCGGCACAACTGTAGACAGGATCCCACACGGACGATCTCCAGCATATTCAGTGGCAGGATGAAATATTCGTTCGACCGCGCAGAACGGCGTGCTTTGCACACAATGCGTGCACGATGGTCTTCATCTCGTAAATAGAAGCATACTCTGAGATCGGTCTCGCTATTGAATGCTCTACCGTCCGTCAGTCTTTCCACCGACCAATATCAGGCGCATGTGCAACTCACAACTGTAACAGCTCCTCGAATCCCTCGCCGTCCAGCCATGCTTTCGGATTGGACTTGGGTTCACCCAGACACTTGGAGCTGCAGCCTGTTAGCGGATGTCTGCACTACTGAAGCTATTGTATTGACCTTTCGCCAATATAGGGGATAGGCGTTTGCGGGTGATCATCTAGGAACACCCGTCTCGCCCAATGCTCGCCAAGTACACTGGAAATGGTCGATTGGCTCGTGGCAGTCGTAGTGGAAGGCGAGCCCGGTGCATCTGGAGCCGAGGGAGGGATATCCGAGAAGGTGCCAGATGAAGCGGAGGTGGGCGACTGGGGCCCTAGGTGAGACGGACGAGCTCGCTCGTAGGATCGTCGGGTGCGGGGTCTGCGATCACTGACCGGACTGCCGGGTTCGCCACTGGTGTTGCTGCTGCTACTGCTGCTGCTCGACGAGGGGGAACTCAGAGACAGGGAGCCCAAGTGCGACGCAACCTGGGATTCCTGCTGCCCCAACAAACCTTTGAGATTGTGTCGCAGAGAGGACATCAGTCGATCATCGGGTGCATTACTACATGATTACAGACGCATTTGTCAATTGACCTGCATTTCCGGCGAGAGCCACGTGGAGTAACGAACCCCTTCATTAGAGCCTCCAAATCGGACAGAAAGGCCTTATACTTGGCTAGACGGGTAGACAGTGAGTCGTGCGACTCCTCCCGGAAGAAAGTACAGAGGTCAACCCATGTCCGTTTGTAGACCTCCCGGCTGGAGCCTCTCCGCGCCTCCAGGTCTCCGAAGAAGTCGACAACATCTTCGAGCGTATACTTCAAGCTTGCCCGAACCAGTTCTAGGTCAAGCTGGACGGCGTGCAGGTTGCGCCGGTAGTTGCGATTGCGGGCCAAGTCTTCGAGATTCTTGAGGGAGGTGCTAATTGCATAGAGATCGGCGATCAGGCTGGTGATCTCCGTTGCATGCTCCGGCAGGGGGTCGCGGAAAAGACGAAAGCCAGCGGCCACGTCCTCTGCATTGTCGGCAGATGTACGCAGAGCCATAGTGATGGTCACCTATGGTAAGGCCCTGCATGTATGCTTATGGGGATCTTTCGTTGTATGGTTGAGGTCGAGAGACAAGGAGGAGATAGACTCCCACCAGACAGACACACGCGGCTCACTATAGCTGCTTGACGAATTTATATGGAGATCGCAGTAAGGGAGATCAACGGGGTCCCAGGAGAATTACGTGATAGGGTAGTAGATACACCAGGAGAGGGGCAGTGGGAGACAACTCAGTAGACTGCAATGCTGGAGTCAGAAAGAGAACCTCTTATCGGTGGGATCGTCCCTAGGATGCATGTCGGCTGGAGTCTCACCGAACAGATAGATGGACGCAGACCATAGGGAATAGATGAATGGATTGGAGTCTCGCCCCAAGGATTGACCAGGCAAAGGTGCAACTTGCACCACACGCAGAAGGCACCAGCACCAGCACCAGCGCGTAAACACACAGGAAGGCGAGAGAGAGAGAGGGTCAAATTCAAGCCAGACAGGGTTTTGATCTCGATCACCCGCACAAAGGAAGGAATGCAGAACAAGAATCACCCGCGGGTGGGGCTAAGTTCAGTCTAGTTTGTTGCCGGACGGAATGGCAGCAGCCCATAGTTACTAGGTAGGTAGTTAGTTTGCGGCTCTCTGTCGGACGGACAGACCGGCACTGGAGCCAGAAGCCAGAAGCCAGAAGCCAGAGGGTCAGAAGAAGAAGCCCGAGACCGACAAATTGATTGTGTCTGTCTTGTTTAACGATAGTAACGTGCCTCCAACCTCGAGGGGAGAGAGGGGGGGGGGCACTATTGACGTGTTCATGCGGCGGCGACGGGCAAAAGCCAATAACGGGCGGTGGAAATGCATGGCGGGATGGAGCGATGGTGGAGGGGAAAAATCGAGGAGGTAGAC